TTATTCGAGCCATACAAAAGACCCTATTTCGCATTATTGCACAAATCAATTGTATGTTTAAACTATTTATTACAATATGTATGCATAATATTATCTACCATTACCTAAGCTTTGTTGATAGGCCTCTATAAAACATTAAGAAGTTCTCGTATAGCAGACATTTTACTTTTTTAATTTTCTTATTCATATAACATGTGCCGTGTTATGTGCTTATTGATCATCTGTTTGTTGGCTTTTTAAAAGTTTTACTTTCTTTGTCCCGTTTCGGATTTTAAAAATATCAAATACAGAAAACTGAACAGAATGCATGAGCGTTGTTGACATCGCTTAGTACTTAAGTTTTTTGAAGTGAAACTTCTTTATCGGGGTTGGAAAAAAATTTAGTGTAACATTTTTGCGTTACGCGCCATCTTTTTCTTATCTTAAAATGTTCCTCTAACGCCATCTAGTGTTGAATAGGGGGTTTTATGTCGTCTTTATTCTTTAGTGGTTTTAATAGTTGACGCTAGATGGCGTTAGTTCCTCTTTGTGTTCGTGTGTTCATAACAATATATATATATGTTATATTAAAGTGATCAGCAAAATCAAAGGGTTTATTTTAATTCTAATTCTAAAACGTAAACAATATATTTCGTATTTCAGTTACCATAAGCCATTAATAACACAAATATATAATAATGACATCAATGATAGTAATAATTCTATTACAATTAATGAAATTCAATAATAATATTTGTAGTAATGACAGTGCTAGCTCTAATACTTCAGAGCACGACACTGTAGAGACTTCCTCTTCTCCAAAGGCAGGCACCGCCCACCGTGACCTGACTGCGCCTTCCACCGAAGACCAATCTGAAGCTGACCGATGATGCTCTTCGAAGCCTCGATCGGCTCCTGGAACTTGCGGTTGCGACGTCGATCCAACGTCCGCAAGTTCGGTTTTCCAAAAAAACTTCACTCACAACACTCGCGCGCGAGACGAATGTCTGCCTTCTACTCACTGGCTGACTATTTGGCAACGAAGGACCATGTACAAATTCAAAGCGGTTGTATTTTGGGTCCGTGAGGTTTATTGAAATAAACAAGGTTCACGTTGCAAGTTTTTTAATCAACAATTTTTGCGGACCCTCATACTAAATACAACGGTCAAACCATAGTGTATTTTAATTTACTACTAACGCAAGCTATGTATTACAAATAAGAAACTAAATATTATACAAAGCTAAAATGAAATAATTGTAGAATTTGTATTTATGTCTATGATAATAAAAGCCTTTTATTAAACTTTATCTAATTTAACTTTATTTAACCAATTTCTGTAAAGTTGCATATAGTAAATTATTTTTTGAAAAATAACGTCATAAAAAAGTTTCACTTCTAACGAGTGTACACATTTTTTTAATTAGTAATATCAATATTTACTAAGAGAAATACGTTATGTTCTCTGTTTACTTGATTCAGGTAAAGCATTTTTTTCTAAGCAATAGGAGCAAACTTTCAGATCTTCAAATTATTACTATCAGCTTGGCTACCAGTGTTGGTAAGTTTCCGCCTAAATTAATTGTCGCTACATAAGCAGATGGTTTGTTGAAACTTTCGGCGACCCAACTAATTTGCAACTTCGGAACACAGCACGACAAATATTCTGCATCATTTACGAGCCGACGCCAGCCGCGCTGGGCGAATTCGTAATATGGCCTATGGCAAGGTCAAAGTCGATTTTTTTACATTCCAGCGAAACTTCTTCATGTGAACAATATTTGTTTTTATTAGGAGTGTCAAATAGTTTACTATTGCTGGAGGGGACGGCCACGACTTACCATTTGTTTTTTTAAGGAGAGGTTTTCTACCACAATAGACACTAGGGTCACTCGGCAGACTCAGCAGTCTCGTGAATGGGCAGATTCGTGAACACAACCTCACAGATGACCGACTTTAAATGGATGTATTACACTTTTGCCTTTTGTCTGGTTGTGAGATAGCTTAGTGTCCGGGAGCTCGCCTTTAACTCAATATACTCGAGCAACCTGAGTTCGATCCCCGGTGCCGGCACCAATGAAGCTTTTTAACTTTAAGTGCTGACTTATCACGTGCTCCGCGGTGAAGGAAAACATCGTGTGGAAACCCGAATATTTTCGAAATAATAATAAAAAAAATATATTTCGAAGATATGCGAAGTCCGCCAATCCGCCGTGGGACCGGGTTGTGGACTATGATACCCTCCTGACCCTGATACCCTCTGTACAGATGAGGCCTTTGCCCAGCAGTGGGATATGTATAGGCTGATATTTTACTTTTGTCTGGTGAGTGGTGCACCAGCCAATTCTTTTTACCAAGGTTAGCAACAAAAGACCTGCGGCAGCTGTATATGACCATGTCACCCTTGTTCAACGAATCACTTAACATCGTATGGTCACGGAAAAAAACAACCAACTCTTTAACCTACTGGTAAGTGATAACGGAAATACATTACGAGTTAGTGACATACATTAGTTATGTGATGAAAAATTTAACGAAGTGCGGTGCAATGCCATAAAGGTTTTGATCTCATTTATTTCTTTGTGTTGTGGAGAAAGAGTGGTCCGATTCTCTCTCTGTCCGAACCAAACGGAAGAGTATAAATAATATTACTTTACGCCGCTTTATCACAGTAAAACTCCTCTCTCATATTCTTCTTAAAGTAAAAAGAAGATAATTACACAATAACATAATCACAGTCATACATATAAATTGCCCTTTAGGATAATATTATCCTGTGTTGTAGGGACGTTTTACAAACATAAATTTCACGCGGACAAACACCCAGATGCGAAACAACGTATGAGTCACACAAATAGTTGTGCCGTGTGGGAATCGAACCCACGACCCCCGACGCCAAAGCCAATACCTTGGCAACTGCGCCACGGAGTCATCAAATATCTACGTGTTTTATAAGTCATTCTACGCATCTGAAATTCAGATGCGTAGAATGACTTGAATGAAAAAAAACAACAACACTTGCCTTCAAGCCACAATAGTTTTCGAGCGACGCACGCAAATGAACCCGATGATTAACTGCACGCGTTATAAATCCCCGCGCGGATTTGACTGCAAATTAAGCGAGCGGCGGTCAGCGGGCTCGTTACCCGGCTAACAATATCACTGGGCCTGATTAAATCCTACACCTGACACGCGTGAATTATTGCTCCATCGAACTGACGAGGTGTCAAGTCTCCATTATAATTGCACTATAACGAGCCTGGTGTATGTTACAAGCAGACCAAGTATGTGACACTTATAGTTGTCCCTTGTGGGAATCGAACCCACAACCCCGGCGCAAGAGCCAATACCTTGATAACAACTGCACGGAGTCATTTAAGTGATTAGGCCAAAATGCAAAATGACTTAAACTGCTTCATAAACTATTATAGGACTAGCGACCCGCCCCGGCTTCGCGCGGGTTTAATGTGTTACACATATAAACCTTCCTCTTGAATCACTCTATGTAATAAATAACAGCATCAAGATCCGTTGCGTAGGTTTAAAGATCTAAGCATACATAGGGACAGACAGCGGAACGACTTTGTTTTATACTATGTAGTAAAGCATAGGTTATTTGATTTAAGAAAATAATAGTCAGATTCATTCATTAAATCTTTCATTCATTCATAAATGTCTATAAGTATGTATATCAATACTCGAATTGAAAGCTTCTGTTATATACAAGCACGGTATAACTGTTATATCTTTATATAGGGGTTGCACGAATTGGCAGGTCCGTCCAGCTGACTACCATAACCTAACTAAAGACCGGTGTGTAGTAGTATCAAATTTCTGCGTTTCGTCTGGTGAGTGTGGTAGTCAGGACCCACTTTATTAAAAGAAGGCAACTCATTTGCAATCATACGAGTGTTGCAAATGTCGATTGACGACGGCTGTCATTCAACATCAGGTGAACTGAATGTTCACCTGGCTCGCTTCTATGTGGAAAATACCAAAATCAATGTTCTTATTGTAAAACGCCAAAAGATCTAATCGAAATGATACCATAACCAACCTATTCATTAGACATCGATTAGTTCCCATGCTCTTTCTCGTTCCGAAAATGAATGATTTACTGACTTCTGCGCGATTTTGAAAGGACTTTATGTGACAGGTATACGCTACGGCGAATTACACTTTAATAAAAAGTAAAATCCAATTTAGGCACTGCTGGGAAAGGCGTCCCCTGTACAGAAAGTATTAGGGCATAGTCTACTAGGCGACCCTACTGCGGATTGGCGGACTTGACATAAATCTTCTAAATATTATTTTTTGTTGTATTGTTCATGATGTTTTCCTTCACCGCTGGGCATGGGGTAAATCAGCACTTAAAATTAACAATTTCATTATTACCGGCACCGGTTAAAAGGAAGCGCTCGGACGATGAGCTATCGCGTCTCTCACCCTCACACTTTAATAAGATAGAACTATTTCTTTAATTGTGTAACATTACACATCACAAACTATCCATCATCCAATTAAGCATTAAATTCTGGTGACTGGTTGAATTTCATTTGTTGTCTAATATTGCTATACTAATAAGTTTCAATAAGTAGTGAAAAGTAACGCCCATTTAAATCAGAGAAAAACATATTCTCAACGAAACAAGAGTGAACGATTACTCCCGTGAAGGTGTGCATAAACAAGGTTATATAGGTAATTAAATCAAAGATATTACTTCCTACAATCTAAATTAATTAGTGAGAGAGACCTTTTAATTAATTTAAAGACGATCTGTGGTCTCTTGCGGCGAGTTTTGTCCCTGCAAGTCTTGACGCATCACTCTCTCGAAATTATGTGGACGGTCTTCGACAGACAATTTACAGGCCAACCGCTGCGACATTCAACAGTTCAATCTACACTTTACAATCAATTGGTATATGTTCTCCCAAGAGTTGTGTTCTCCCAAGAGTCTTTTTCCAGAAAATTTCTCGGCTTCAACTGCTCTTCCTTAAAAACATTCTGCCTTATCCTTTCAGATGCTGGTTCCTCGCGTTCTATTGCTTCTGGTGTTTTCGCACCACGGCGAGGTCGCAAGCGTACCACAGACGCGCATCGGGAAGCGCTCTCTCGTCGGCAAAGCGTCATTCGTGACCGTTCACAACGCGATCGTGCCCGTCGTCAGGCGGCAGAAGGGCCCGCTCTCCCCCGTACCGATACTGAAGCACGGCATCGTCGTACCGAATCTGCACGTGATACCGATAAGCAGCGTGCACAGAATCCACGGCGGTGATAGCCAGATCTTGAGCCACACGATCACGCACTCGGCCAACGTCACCGGTCAAACGGGACTAGTGTCGGTACTCATACCGATCCACAACCTGGTACCGGTACACGACCTGACGGTGATACCGCTCCACAAGGAACCGAAAATCAGCTTCAGACTGTCGAACGAACGTGATGAGCCGGTGAACAGATATCGCCATCCCTTAGGGGGCTATGGCGCCGGCTGGTACTACGGAGGTCACGGCGCCGGCCACGGCTTCCATTACTCTTACGGGTAGCTGAATTGTGAGACAGTGTTATTTTATGTGAAAGTATAAATTAAAGTCATATTTATTGTTTTCATCTTTTTTTTTAAAACATAATTTGACTCATATCAACCGAGGCATACGTATAGTCTAGACAGACTTCGAGTATCGATATCTTGATTCGACAAATGACAAAACTTGATTCGCTATTCAAACGTATCTCGATTGCTGATCTACGTGTACGCTTAATAATACATCAAGATCGAATCGATACCGTGATCAACTGTCGGCTAACATTTGATAAGACTCTTGAAAGTGAGAGCCTGTTGACATTGATACATCGATCAGTCGTAGTTCGCCACTTCCAAGGTCCTAACCGACTCCCAATTACACTCATTAACAAAAACTATTTTTTTATGTGAGAAGGCGACAAGCTAGCTGGCGGTTCACCTGATGTTAAGTCAACCGCTCATAGACATTTGCAAAACCCGTAGAAATGCAAATGCGTCGCCACCTTTTAATAATGTGGGCCCCGGCTACCTCACTCACTAGTCGAAACGCAGAAGTATAACACTTCAACTTCACACCGACTCACTTCGTGAGTTCGTGGTACTACCACGGATGGACCTGCCGATTCGTGCAACAGCGAAGATCGTTTCGTGGCCCTATCACAAAACTACTTCTAGGTACTTCTAACTGAACATGAGCAGTTACTGTATTAAACGCAGGCAGGAGCATCTCTTACAAAAGTATTTTTTTTTGCATTACAACTGGTAAAGTAACCGAACCACCGCTACATACTCGTACTACTTAATTTATTAAGGGTCTGTTTCACAATGTCCAAATAAAGTCCCGAATAAGCTACTTGCCACTTATCTGACGAATAAAGTCATAGTTTGCGTTTCACAATCTTCTGTTAAGCGTATCTGGCAAATAAAGTTCAAAGTAAATTATAGGTTAGATCATCTGTCAGATAAGGAATTTATTTGATACTTTGTTACTTGACAGGTCATTTTCAAGAAGGAATTAGTATATGTATTTTGTATGTTGTGAAATAGAAAAATATTAAATATGTATTTATTTAATGCCTTGGACGACGAATTAGATGATTTTTTTATCGTTTATCGGACCCACACAGAGATCCTGTGTTTTGACGACGTTCTAATCACATGGAGACATTTGATGATGAGGAATTTAGAGTTCAATTTCAATTTAATAAAGATACTGTTTATTATCTCCATTCACTTATTGAGGACAAAATTTCTTCTAGTACAGAAATGTCATTATGTGTTTTATTTTTTATAAATGACGTATGTAGTGAAATGTCTATCTACTTAATATCTATGCTGTTTCTAATAGGTTCTTGAATAATCATTGTTTCAGGAATTATGCTATATCATCTATGAATTGAATTCTGTTGACACTGAGATATTATGCAACTGGAAGTTTTCTGAATGTATTTGGTGATTTTACTGGAGTGAGTAAGGTATCAGCTTGTCGAGTTGTGAATGTGGTATCACAAGCAATCGCCTGATATTGAAATGTGTCCGTACAGTTTGTTAAGTTCCCAGAAGATGTTACTGAATTATAAGGAGACTTTAATGTCTGCTTATATAGATAGCTAGATTTCCAAGGCTTATTAGTGCCATTCATTGTACCCACGTCCCAATAAAATCTACAGGTGGTGACAATGCAGAAAGCTATCGGAACAGAAAACGCCGATTCTCATTCAATTTTCAAACAATAGTTAGTTCAGACTTGAAAATAATGGAAATAGTGGCTAGATGGCCTGAAGCCACACACGACCAAACAATATTTAAAGATTCGTAATAAAACAAAGATTTTTGAACAGAGAATTTGGTAATAGTGTATTTGTTGGTGATAAAGGTTAAGAAAATACATTTTATCTATTGACTCCACTTCAAAATCCTGTTACACCAGCAGAACATCTCTATAACGAATAAGAGTTAGGAATCTTCTTGAGCGGACTTACGCTGTTTGTAAAAATAGGTTTCCTATATTAGCAAAAAAGGTAATATACATTCGTCTTGTGTCCAGTCTGTAATTGTAGCATGTGTGGTGTTGCACAATATTGCAATTAATCTAAAAATGTTTTTGTATCATTATAATTGTTTAGGAGTATGTATTTCAGGTATATAAATACGTAACACAAAATATTGCAAAAAAAATGCATTATGAATGCTTTCAAGGGTGATTAAATTAATAAAATGTTGTATGTTCTCACATTTCCCGTAATCGTAGTATCTCTATCTTACAAGTAACAAACTGACACATAAACTTAATGGGAAGACGTTTGTGAAACGCAAACTATTTTAACAGGAAGTTTTATGTGGCAGTTAATTTATTTGTCAGTTAGTTATCCAACACTTTATTCAGACATTGTGAAACAGACCCTTAATAAATTGTTGCTTATTATGTTTCACGTCAGTTTTATCTCGAGGAAATGAAATCAGTTACGTTAGACATTAAAAAGTGATTAACACATCACCTCGACGTCAACGGATGCCACTTCGTAATTAATGTATTTACCACTTTACATTGTAAATACATTAAATAACATTATAAAACAGCAAGAATTTAATATACGTTTGACCGAGGAATAAAAATTTTAATGTTGAGACATTTTATAGATTGTTAAAACCGAATCTCCAAAACTCATTAAAATACTAATATTAGGTACGTTGAATAACGATCGTTTGAAAGTCTTAAATTGGACCAATCTTTAAAATTCGTGTATAAAAATCCATCCTGACTGTATTTTGAATTTTGAAGTAATGCAGTGGTAGTGCAGTCTGGTCGGTTAAATTTTATTACTAAAAGCATCTTTATACCCAAACATTTCCTTTTTGAATTCCCAGTTTTTAATTTTTAAGTATTTTAAAAGCCTCGGAAATTTCCTTGATGACTTTTGTATGACTTTGCGATGTGGGCTCCGATACAACGTTTGTGTTTGTTTCCAATATGTTCGCGATCTACGAACTTGCTTTACCTGTAGTATTAAAGCTAAATTAATTTATAGGCAATTTTTTTATTGTTTTGTATTATTTTAAAATACACAGTTAGTAAGTAAACAAAGGTCATTTAAAATAACAGGTACATAAATTTACAATAAAAGATAAAAATAATGTACAAATGGATCATTCAGAGCGATTATATTCGAGAATTTTTTATTTTCTTAAGTACTAAGAAGGTTTTAAATGTAAATTACCTCACATTACAGTGTCACGCAGCACATTCCTGTATTGTATGGATTACGTAGTCGTCTACGTGCGTGATATCGGTCAATTGGTTTGGCAGACTCGGTTATCTTTGCGATGTCTGCGTTCAAAAATAGACAAGACAAAATTAATGTCAGGATTTTCGTCGGTTGTTGTTTTCGCTTCTAGTCTCGGAGACTGTGTAAAGATTTATTTGCATTTAAAGATTTATTTGGAAGGGCCACGCAACAATGTACTCTGTTGCACGAATAGTCAGGTCCGTCCGGGGAAGTACCACGACCTCACAGAAGACCGGCGTGATGTGGAAGGGTTGTACTTCTATGTCTCGTCTGGTGAGTGAGGTAGATGGGGCCCACTTTATTAAAAGGTGGCAACGCATCTGCATCCTCGGGTGTAGCAGATGACCATGGGCGGCGGCATTCACTTAACATCAGGTGAACCGCCTGCTCGTTTGGCAACTTTAAATATAAAAAACAAGCTAGCTTGCCCCTTATCATATAAAAAAAAATATGGGCCGTAGAAACACTAATTTTTGCGGACTTGTTAAGACCCTACAAGTAACACTACACAAGTAAAATGTGCCTGGTTTGTTACTAGAGGATTTACGTTAAAGTACGTTTTACAAACAACCTACGGCGACTTTTAATTGTTTCTCGTGTAATTTCTTTAACAATGACATTAATTTATTCTTCAATCATTTTATTCTCATATTGAAATTATTTTTTTTCACGAGTAACTTGCGCGGCTGCTGCCTTCTTAATACATGGTAGCCGCTGCTTCGGGTTCGTCTCCGGGAGGATTCGTCAATACTGATGATCCTGATCAGAACAATGATGCAAAACTATTAAACTACTGTATTACCATCGGTCCGTGATAAGTGTGCAAAATTTCAAATCAATTGTCCGACGATTTGAAGTCGGTGAAAGTAGCGTTCGAAGATTCCCTTACAAACACACACAGACACACACATCTACATAACTACAGGTGAAGCTTATAAAAACGTGTTGAAAAAACGAGCCCCATATTGGAGACATGTTTCTGTGTCGCGCTGGGTCATACGAACATAACATAGACCAAACAAACGGCGGCAAAGAAGAAGGTATATCCAGACTCGTAAAAACTATTAATGACGTGTTATGTCGTGTTGCAATTTTTAATTGACATTCAAATAGTAATATGGCCTGGTTTTTTCTGAGATTGCAGCTTTCTTATGTGAGAAGGTGTCAAGCGAGCTGTGGTAACCGCCACCCATTGACATTTACAACACCCATTGGGTTGCAGATATATTGCCGCCTATCAACAAAGTGGGCCCCGGCTACCTCGCTCACCAGACGAAACACAGAAGTATATCAAATCGAAAATATATTTATTCAAATAGACGCTTGCGCGCTCTTATGAATCGTCAAATTTACATCAAAGATTATGTGTATAGGTTCGTAAGGTACCACCGGTTCGGAAAGCGGTTTCTGTTGAGAAGAGACCGGCAAGAAACTCAACAGTTGCTCTTTTTCAAAAATATCAGGGTACAATATAATATAACACTTCCACGTCACGTCGGTTTCCTGTGTGGTCATGGTACTTACCCGGATGGTTGCGTGGCTCTTGCCAGAAGAAATACAGACATAAATGCTTTCACTACATGCTTGTCTTCCGTGAGGCTATGTTGATTCACCAAAAGCAAAAGCTGCTCTTTGGCTACCACTGTGAAAAGTTTTAAACAATATTATTCAATGGTATTCATAAATTCGTCATAAAAGTCAGGTAAACCCGTTATAATTAATATATTTATAAACCAAAATGTGATACAAATATAATGATACACTCTCACATGTTACATGACTAAGGTATAATCAACAATAATAAAAAGTAAATTAGTGAAATTACTCAAAATAAATATTTCTAATAATTTAACCTTAGTAAGATGAAATGTTTATTTTACCAAAATATAAGATTTACTCCAAAACAAGTTCCTACATTCTTTTACATACAAAAAAACTAAGACGACCTCAAATATCTCTCACTATAATTACATTCTCTAATTGATTTTGAAGAGTTCCTTGGCGTATCTCCAGAGTCCTAATTTCAATACCAATGAAATAAATATAGGAAACTAAAGAGAGAAGAAAGAAAGAAGAAATGTTTATTTGGCGCTTTGCATAACAGGAAAAAAATTAACAATATTAGCACTGAAATCGTAAAAAAAGAAAAAAAAATAATGCACCAAAAAGGTCTAAGCTCAGTATGTAGCCGCGGCAGAACGTCTATATGAGCTAAGTCGAACCGAATGCAAAAAGAAGTTTATAAGTGACGGAGTTCTGAGGATACAAACAAAAAAAAATACAACCGAATTGAGTACCTCCTTCTTGGTGTCGGTTGAAAATCAGAGATCGTCATCACGTCCGTTATCTGATAGGGGTGACCTAAGCTTAAACATGAGTTCGGCTCGTGATGGGCAAACAGAAAAAGTTATCGTAATAAAGCACGGTCAGTGGCAGCAGCGTGATGCCCCCAGGCCTTGAGCGTTATCAATCGAGTGGTGGGACTAACTCTGCGTCCAGTTTACCGTTATCCAATCCACTTGGCGGGCCGCCAGTAAAGTCGAACGCCGCGCGTCTCTCGGACCGGTTTGCGTGTCGTTTGATAAGTAAAATCGGTAAACATATTGGATCAGGCCATCGATCCGAACATCGCCGCGTTGCAGAAAGCAAAAGTGAGTTTATAATTTACTTTGTAAGATAAAATTAACTGTATAATAAATATCCTTACTCGTATTTTTAGTTGTGAACTTAATTTCATTTTTAGTAAATCTTCTAGCAGTAGAGCAATCACAACATATATACATTGACGTTTTTTCATTGTTGATACTATTTTGTTACAAGTTTATGACAAATAGTTAGTGCATTGATTCAGAAATTGTACTTTGAATTTGACTAGTAAGCATTCTAGTTCCTGTTTTCACTCTTTATTAATTTTTGATCGCAAGCTTTTCTTACATTAAAACAGAATCAATTTTCTAATCTTTAACTTTTTTATCAAATCAATTATTGCTTAGACTATGAGAAGTATTCACATATTACCTCAATGCTTCTTACCAGGAACTGGCTGATTGTTCACTACTATCCAACTTGAGTATAAATGACTATAAGGCTAAATATAAGGTTTATTCACAAATTTTTCCCACCACTGGGACTTTTCTCTAAAAAAAGACATGATGCCGTGAAAATATCAGTCTTCACAGCAAGATGCCTTCGCTTTGGCTGCAACAAGAATACCTTCGCGCGGGAATTTGAGCGTCGAACCTTTAGCCTTTATGTGAACCGCGCACGTTTATCATGCTTAAAATTTACGTGTGATGGGAATTCCTTACATATTTCTTTATATTATATATTATTATGTCCAAACAATTTCGTTACTTTCCCTAATATCAAAGGCATAAAGTCTTAAACTCAATCTGTTTGGTAAAACATCGCTAAAAAAGAAAGGTTCGATGGTATGATAGATCCACTAACTTTTGTTTCATTTTTTCACAATTTCTCAAGAAAGGATTAAAATATTTGCTTCCTTCCAATACGGGGTTATAACTCCCTAAGTCATTTCGGTTTTTGGCATTTTTAAATCTAAGTTCTTTGTTTCATATCTACTATACGGCAAGGAGTCTCAAGTGTGTCAAAATTTGATATTATACAACATCAAAACTAGTACTACGGTTTTGTTGTTATACATTCCACTTTTCAAGTTTAAATATTATTTTATAACTCTTTATTTATTTCCTATCTATACTACAAACATTCTTTAATCTGCGTCATTGAAAAGTTTGATTAACATAATTAACTCAATTTACTACTTTCAACGTTATTCGATGTCTCGTTTAACAACTAGCTTTTCGCCCGCGGCTTCGCTCGCGTTCAAGCCCATAAATAAATATCTTTCTTTTAAAAAATATGTATGTTATACAACACTTTTTTCCAAATAAAAAATAGCCTGTGTCCTTTCTCAGGCTCCCTTATCCTTTAAACGAGCAATTCTTGTATATATATATATAATCGGAATCTCGGAAACGGCTCCAGCGATTTTCATGAAATTTAGTATGTGCGTAGATTCGGGGGCGAAAAATCGATCTGGCTAGGTTTCGAATTCTTAATGAAAAATATCATTCGAATACGACGGTAAATTTCACCGAAAAAAAAATTTTTATAATAGCTCAGTCCATAATCGGGCGGCCCCGAAACAGAAGGCCGTGGTTCGTGTCACGATCATTCACACACTTATTTTTTTACTTTTTTTTCAATTCCAGATCATTGCTTTCTTTATTTTTTTATTTTTTATCGATCCGGATGATTTTGTTATTTTTTCCCATTTTTTAAAAGATCTTTCTTTTGTGATTTTGTTTGTTAATATTTTCTTATTATTACGTCGGTAAGATCGGAATATATTATGCATATTTCATTACTCAGTAATTTGTATCTAAATGTAATTTCCAAAATACACGATTTACCAAAAACAAAAAACAAACCTCCAGGTACTATGGATTATAACATCGTTGATTCCAATTCGTGTGAGCAGTACTTTTTATGTTTACATTGACAAGCACACACCCGACACATGACTGCTGACCCCTTTGCATGGGTCGAAGTCACTTGATTGCGAACCCACGAATGTTTTTGTTTTGTTACAGATACAGAAGCGAAAACCAATGAAAATCATCTACGATAATATTTACGTTGAATAAATTGAATTCGTATATTGTCACTATGCGGTAAGTATGCCAGGACTATATCGAATTTTATGTTGTATTAATTCATTTATTTATCATATCGTCATGTATATAAACTTGAAGGAAGGGAAAGGAAGGAAATAAATACAATTATAGCATTGATAAAGACAAATCTATTTCTATGCTATCGACTCTAAGAAGAAAGTAACGTTTAACATGACACAAAAACTATGTACTTTTTACGAAATTGCGCGCACGGAGTATTCTGAAATCTCCCACACATATACAGTATAGAAAAGGAGTGCAGAATGCTAATTTTTTTTAAATTACATAAAAAAAACATTAAATGAATAAAAAAATATTACAGGCAATTCTATGTAAAATGAATTGTGGTCGAGTTTCGACCACTGGGCGACAACTAGTAATAATAGACATTCGACCAAATCAATGAAATCCAAGTCAGCTCTTTATTAATTGACATCGATTATTATTGCAATTTGCACTTTTCTTCTAAAGTTAATGTCCAACGTTTCCTCTTCTATTTACTTAAATTAATCCACTTTACCAACCTCAGTGCCTCAGTTCAACCTCAGTGAAGGCGCACGCAATGCATAGAGTAGAAGCAAATAAACGAACATTAAACACCCGATTTGTTTACAGGTTACAGGAGTACTCGGTTGTTTTCATCTTATTGGCCATTGTGAGTTTTGTGAGCACAAGGTCCTTGGAAGGTCTGTATTTACACAAAATGTTACTTGTTAATAATTTCGGTTAACTAAATTAGACTTCTTAAAGCATCAACTGCAATTTTGGCGGCAATTTCTTCAGAAATAATCTTACATATATAAGCCGAACTTACTTAAATAAGCAAATTATATTCTGATACTTAAGCATGATGAAGCAAGATGATGAATGATTGTGAAAAGTTTTTCACTAAGATTTCGCAGTTCCTAAGAATTTTTATCTCTTTGTGACAACAGCGTAATTATGTTGAGGCGGTTTTCCAGGATATGTGAGAAATGAAAAAACCAGAGCGGCTTATCGGATCGTACTCCGTTCCAAGCCGTGGCCAGTTGCGAGAGACATCTGCGATGAGGAAGGAGCTAAACTGGCTGTACCGAGGTCTGAGGTAGGTGGCTGAATAATTAAGTAGAATACTTTTATTAGGGTTCCGTACCCAAAGGGTAAAACGGGCCCCTATTACTAAAACTCCGCTGTCCGTCCGTCTGTCACCAGGCTGTATCTCATGAAGACTTCGTGCGCGAATCCGACTCGCACTTGGCCAGTTTTGCCGATAGCCGTGTGACTGGGACATTCTTGTCTAGAATGCTGACAGTCTTACTTGATTTTCTACCCTCTCAATAAATTTCAATATCACAAAAATCGAGCACGACATACATTACTATACATACATGCCGCAACAGCTATTATGGTTATTTGACGCTTAAAAGGTTAAATCTAACTTTTCATATCTTTCTTATAATTAATCCAATTGTCGTGATTGCCTCGGTGGCGCCGTTACGAAACTATGGGTTTCGCGTCTGGTTTCATGAATTCGATTCCCCACAACAAGTATGCTTTTGATGATTTTTAACTAAATCTATACAGAGCGGTAACATTATTCCTTTAAGTCATATAATGTTACATTCTGTCCACAACAATTAACCGTTTGGACGTTCCAGGAGGAGTTCCAATTCATCCAGAAGCTGGTGCGCGGAATGCACTACCCGGCGATAACCGACACCTCGGAGAGGCTGGTGGTGTGGCTTGGCATCAGCAACGTTGACAACCACAAGATCTGGACCAGCGTCGACGGTAACTCACACTCAAATTTATCCCTTCACGTTATAAACGCAAAAGCTTTTGTTGGTCCCCTCTCCACGCTCGAATCAATTGACCTAATTGATATTTAGAAGTTAGATAGTTGGGGAAGAAAGGTTAAGAAAAAACCGCCCACTAGATGGAGTGACGACACGTGCACGTGTGCGGGAAGAACATTGATGCATGTGGCTCAGGATCGTGCTTCGTCGCAGTCTGTGGGGGAGGCATATGTTCAGCAGTGAACTCAAACAGGCTGAAATGATGATAACCCATATACAGCATTAATAAAAATTATACTTTTTGGGTACTTGTTATCTCGTAAAAATGGAATATTTCATATTTTAAAAAGTGCCGAGGGTTTGAAGTATCGACTGATAAATATTTGTTAATGTCATTTCCCATTTGAAAATGTACTCTACATTTACTCTGTGGCTATAGTTTATCATTAACGTCCGACAGTGACATATAACACACTGTATACGGAAAAAATGCATGTTTCTCGTGGTATAATTGCGAACCGTATTATAACAATTCAATCGAAGCCGTGCTCGGTTAATAGAAAATTACTTATGTTAATTATTTTCCGATTGAGATGATAATGTAAGAGAACTCTGTAGCGTTTGGACATATCAATGAGTATATAAGCAATACCACTTGGCTATAAACTCGCTGGATGTCCCGTTATTTACTACGGTCATCAAAGCCTCCCGGCCACAGTAAAGCTTGAGACGTACTCAAGCTTTACTGTGGCCGGGGGTAATGAATATTGAATCGCTGTTGCACGGTCATACGCGCAGTAAACGGAGGCAACAGAAGTGCTCCAGTGGGGTGCAACTCTGACCTTCGTCTCACCAGCTCTTGCGCTCAGCAGCAATTATGCCGCTCTAAAATTTTGCCAAACGAAATAGGACATTTACTACCACATTAAAGTTGCTAACAGACTGGCGCGATAGAGGTTTAGAATTGGAAATATCATACTGATGATAAAGTATGCTTACACACTGGCTAGGAGGCGGTTGATGTAAGACAACTTTACGATCATGAGACAGATATTATGGAAGTGGTACATAAATTAATGGCTGAGACATCCTGCAAATATCGTCAAGGACATCGATATCGCCTCCTTTTGCGCGGATTTTTTGCCTTTTAGAGTTGAAAATCTTGGCTTCTACAATCTAGAGACAACCTTTTACGAAAATAAATTGTATTAAGTGCATATCAAATGTACGCATGCAATGCAATGGGAGTCACTGCCAGGAAATGTTGTTGTGGTGTACGTTGACCAATATTTAGCAGACCATACCTCTGAATTATTCGGTAGAAATAACAATTTACTAAACAAATGGTCTTAAGTTTAAAATGTCTTATCTGACCAATCAGAAGAATTTAGCCCATATTTTGAGCCGCTATTTGGATAACACAGTGTCCGATTGACAAGCAGGCTAAGTAGGCTACAGCCTAGACTGACGTATATTAGGGGGCGGCAATAAATTTTGGAATGGACACCGTTGAAGGCGAGGATCATTAAACTATTTCATCATATGTACCTGCCTTCTGCGCCAAAGGGTGTGGGTTCGATCCCCACTACTGGAAAAATATTGTGTGATGAACATAGTGTTTTTTAGTGACTGGGTGTTTATATATCTATAATACGTATTTATTTACAAAAGAAAAGTATGTTTATCAGTTATCTAGTACCCATAGTACAAGCTTTGCTTAGTTTGGGACTAGAGAACGTTGTGTAAAAATGTGTCCTAAAAAATTGGCACATCTCGGAGTGCCTGGCTCTCTCCATATCCTTATCCAGGAGCATGATGCAAAAGCATAAAGCACGTATGCGTTACACGTAACGATCCATAAACGGTGCTGCATTCAAGCCATTAGCACGGCACCTAATGAACCCGAAGCTTAGAGTCGATAAACGCGCAATGGCCTATAAAAAGGCTCTCAAGCCCTTAACGCCTGTCGGGGTAGGCAGAGATAGTGTTATACACTTGCAATTCTCATCGCTGACCTGGCTCATTAAGGACAGCTAGGGTAAAAAAAATCTGATGAAACTAAACTGTTTTAATACCGCCATTGAATTAAAAATAGACGCCCGTATAAAGATAGTACTAGAGACAATACTTACCAATAATACATATACGAGTATGTATCATTTGATTGTCTAGTGTTCGCAATAACTATGTAATGTATTCTTTTCATTCTGCTTCTCCTTCGAATGTAACTAGACTTTTTTTTATGGTAGAAGGTGGCAAGCGAGCTGGCGGTTCACCTGATGTTAAGTGATAACCACCGCCCATAGACATTTGCAACACCCGTAGGGTGGCAGATGCGTTGCCACCTTTTAATAAACTGCGTCCCGGCTACCTCACTCACCAAACAAAACGCAGAAGTGCAACACTTCCACTTCACGCCTCCCTCCTCTGAGGTCGTGGTACTTCCCCGGACAGACCTTCCCATTCGTGCAACAGTGAAGACTGTCGGATGGCCCTACCACATTTATAAACAGTAATTACTAATATGGTATAATAACGTTATAATGGAGCACAATTAAAAACACATTTTGCATTTAGTTTAATGCATCACTGAAGGGTAATCGGTAATTTCCAGGTGAAGACATAAGGGACACCGGTTTCAATAGATGGGCAGGAGAGAACGGCCAACCAATAAGGTATATCTAATATTTATCGTGACATCTTTTAAGTGACAGCCACTGTATAGATTTGTAGAAATAATTTGTTTAATTAATGCTTCTAACCGACTTCAAAAAATTAGGTGGTTGTCATTTCGATTGTATTTTTTTTTTGTTATTACACTGTCATTTATGAATCGATCTTACAAAATTCTTTTTGCATTGGATTCTGTTTAGCTCCTAATATGTGGTCTCATATTAATTTCATTATTATTGAAGCTTCGACCTCGGAGTAACAAAGGACCTCCTCAAAGTCAAATAGAAAATCTATTATTGAGTGAGATATTTGAATTCGGTTTTGTTATTTGTTACCAAAATATTTTACTTGTTATATCTCAAGGTCAAATATTAATCGTGTTTTATAGGGCTCAACTAGAGCTAAATTACGAATCTACAAATCTATATTACTAGCTACCGTGACCTCAGAGGCAGCACAAAATAATTTGTTGGCGTATTTCTTACGCGTATGCTAAAATTATACACGGTGATAAAGCTCACAGTAACGTTTAGTATTGAAGCAAACACTGAGAAATGTGGCTAGCAATAATAAAATCACTCCACTACTGTTAAAAGAAGTTCTTACAAATAATTATATTACCCACTTCAACACGTGACCATTTCAAGATCTGATGTGCTATTGCGTGCCCATTTTCTTGTTGTTTTTTTTTTTACTTTTTTATTTTTATTTCAAAAATCTACTTACTCTAGAACAAGATAAGATGTTTTAGACAAAAACTAAAAACGATGAACGGCCAAATTATCCATGTCATACAAATTCTCATCCCGTGCCACCGAAATCACGTGTAATGCCTTAGGCTACACTCGTTAAACTGCTGCCATGTTGTGAACTTGTGCAGTGACGCCCCGGACGAACCGCACTGCGCTGCCCTGGACGCCGTCAACCCTGGGCTCAGGGACTGGTGGTGCCACCACAGCCAACCGTTCGTCTGCAAAGTGGACGTAGATACGCCTTCGGACACTTAACGTGTCGTGTTCTATTTACGAATGAGTATTATTTATTGCCTCCAATGTAAGATGAAATATTAATTGTCTGTAATAATTACTATGTAGGAATATAACTACATAGCAGGTAGGGATATATACAAATCTCTTGGTTATTTTTCATAATGATAAATATAAGAAATTAAATAGTTTTTTTTTTATTTCTTTATTACCTCATTATTACACCTAAAAGTACACAAGTGTTCAACAAAGAACTACGAAGTGTGAAAGTAACCATTTGTAGGCGCAGAAAACATTCTGCTTATAAAGCGCACCGTCACTTAAAAATTGAGAAGTCTCTACGAAAATCAAGGTCATGCATTATATGACAAAACTTACAAGTTGTTTAAACATAGCTTGGTGTGAACTTTTAGATGTAACCTTCCCACCTTCGTGCGTACAAAACGTAAGATATGGGTACACGTGAACAATTACAATGACACTACAATTTATACTACGTATCTATGATCAAATATGATACCCTTAGTAACCGAAAATACTATCTTAAGAAAACTTACAAAAAGGGTAGTAATATCTAAACTTTTCTCCAATATAGTTTTGAAGTGGCATTTTAATATTCAAAAAACCTTGGACTATGGTGAAAAGTTATTACGAATAACGTCATATGTATTACAGCTAAGTATCCTTCAAACAATATATAAAAGTAAAGTAAAGTAACAGCCTATATATGTCCCACTGCTGGGCAAAGGCCTCCTCTATAGAGAGGGTATCAGGGCATAGTCCGCCACGCGCCCACTGCGAATTGGCGGACTTCACATATCTTCGAAATAATTTTTTTTTTGTTATTATTTCGAAAATATGCAGGTTTCCTCACGATGTTTTCCTTCACCGCAGCACGTGATAAGTCAGCACTTAAAGTTAAAAACTTCATTGGTGCCGGCACCGGGGATCGAACTCAGGTTGCTCGAGTATATTGAATTAAAGGCGAGCGCCCGGACATTGACCTATCACGGCTCTAAAATATATAATTGACATCTAATTGTTTTAAAACCAGAAAAACTGAAAAGAAAGGTTGCTCGTGTGCCTCCATTGAAAATTAAAAGATAGCTGAAATAGGCAACATTTTTGTAGGATCGAAAAAACTAAAAAAAAAATAATAATTAGGCTGTTTCATCGCGATCATTCTATGAATAAGAATCTAGTTGTATGTGATCTAAGCTGGAATTAAACTTGCTTTTTAAAAAGCAATCGCATTTATTGAAGAGGCCAACAGAAGGCATTATGGCTTAATAAAATCATATCACTCAGACCCTCGAATGTGTAATAAAAGGATAATAGGCCCAGATATAAAATGGCAGATCCCCAATTCGATTGGATTATGTTAAAAGCCACAGCGAAGAGCAACTCAATAAAACTTCGAATCATTCCCCGAGAAGTTTTAATTCAATCATAATGCACGGGCATTACGCATTCTAACTTTCGGAACGACGTGACAAATCTATTTTTTAAATACGCACTTACGAGTTTATGATTTTGATGCAAATAAAAATTGGATCACGTAAGACAGATTACCTTCACGTTTTTTTCTTTCACCCTTATGTTGACAGTTGTTGTGTGTCTTCGTTTTAGAAACGCATTTAGTATGCAGACTGCAGTATGTATGGGTGGTAAAAGTTGATAAAGGTTTAACAATGTTTGATTTAGGTTAGCTACCAAACATTAACCAAAAGTAACTTTTAAAATAGTGAATTTTGTAGCTAAAGAAATAAAAACTTTTAGCGCTGCGGGATTCGAACCTGCGTCTTTTAGCTTCACGCCCAGAATGATCCGAAATTTAAAAATAAAATAACAGCTAAGTATCTCCCACTATTGAGCAATAGCTACGGACGGACATTGACCTATCACGGCATGAATCACGTTAATCGGTTCGATAGACAAACATAGTGCCTTGGGAAAATATAATAAAAACAAAAACACACTAAACACATTTTAAGCTACTATTAAAAGCTTTTTCAGACGTGACGACGTGATACTATAAACTTATACCAAAGAGGTTATGTTAATGTGTCGTTCAATGTAGGGCCTTCTGGATTTTTCTTCAATAGTAGACTTATTTCCTACTATTGGACCGTACCATATACTAAAACCGTGGATTTTAAGACCATTGAAGGTAAAATTGAAATAAATATTGAATGAGTCAAAAATACAAAATTATTAATACCGCCATCTACTAGCGGATGACCAAAATAAATTTTTATTTCCCATTTTAACTGAAATTATATCCTCTATGATATAAATAAAAGTAAACAATGTTTTATTATAATTTTTATGTTTATATTATATACCATTAAACATCTACATTCTGTAATTAAAATAAGAAAGGACATATTCTTAAAAGAAATTTGTTTGCATTATGGCAACAATGGCATACTCAAATCAAACAGAACTTTCAATTCAAGTGTCAAATATCAGCTGTTTTTATAGCCTTTTAGAGGTTATTATTTTATTTTCTTCATCTTTTAAATAATAATATACATAACAGTGTCACATTTTTTTTGATTTCCGTAAAATAGCTTAAGAGTAAGATATTTATACCTTATATTTATACCTCTATTACAAAAAATAAGTCATATGCGAAAATAAATGGTCTAACCTCATTCAATGTTCGTTTTTAGATGAATCTTATAAGAAGAGGGATAACTCTTTTAACTTCTGGAATCAAGGCACAATTTACTCAAATTCCAGGTATGTCTCAATAATTTATGAAATTACACAACATTAATTTACAAGAATGGAATTCGAATAAGCGCCTATTTATAGATACTTTTTTTCGAATTTATAAAGAATATTTACCTCAGGTTTTTGCATCTCAGGATCGCCTGTGGTTTGTTACTATTTATTACTTCAACATACTTCTTAGTTATTTATATGTCATTGAAAACAGACCATGGTTCTAAAGCTATAAGGAATTAAGCATGAATACAAAATATTGCTATTCTATTCCACAAGAAGAATAATATTACAGTTGTTGGCATAAATATTGAATAAACTATGTTCTCCGGGTATCTAGGCAAGAAGCGGTAATGTCTCAATGCATTACATGAAAGACACTGGTTCAAATCCTACAGCACCAAAAGTTTTTGTTGTATTTATCTCCAAAAAATCATATATTAAGTTCCATCTTGAGTTCAGAAACTAGCACTAAGAATAAAAATGACTCCTAAAAGATCCTGTTCCATATACCTTTTTAAGTCGGAACCATTGCTTTATTCACTCAGTGTTATTGCTTTCCAGTGACTTGTTTCCATCTTTTATAAAACTAGTATTCAATTTTTACTCAATTCATTTTCATTAATTCCCCTCTATTTTGATTGCTGATTTAACTAATTATTTTTTGATACATCCCTGAATTTTGTTATGTGCAACCTTAAAAATAATCAGTTGTGATATAGATATCTCAAATGCTATTCTACTATCCTTTTAACTTTTATAATATTTATGTATATGTGATAATCCCTACATAATACAAAAATATATCAAATTATTACAATGTTACAATTGTCAACATATATAATTTTTTTTATTTACATTCTACCAAACTTTTTCAAACACAGTTTTATTTTGTAATCACAAGGTGGCTAATGATGCAGTGGTTCACCTTATGTTAATTGATTACCACCTGACTTTTGTGAACCTGTGGCTCCCTGTCAAGCCTGCCTGTTTATGCCACAGCGGAAGCTGCTGTTCAACGTTGCCATAAGAAATTATTGTAAAATTTTTTTACTGTCCGCCTATTTGGGCTAATCTCACAAACAATTTAGACTTCATTGGCACATAGATAACTTTTAAAGAAATCAAGGCTATCTTAGTAACTCAAAACTCAACTAAGGTTAATGGCAACCTATACTTTAATGCTGTTTAACCATATTTGCTTAATTGACTGTAATGAATGTTGTAAATGTTTTCATTGTAAGAATCAAACATGGCGAGAATAAGAATTACTTATTGGTGTAATGTTCATCTAAAATTATTTTGCTGCAATAAATTTACAATTATACAATTATTTGTTGCCCTGAATATTAAATTCATGATTTAAAATCTATTTTTAGTAGTCAAGATTTATTTACGTATATATGGAAAATTTTATTATTAGCATTAATTCCAGTATCTATACTGTATGACATCGAAATGAAATACAATAATTTATTATTGTATTTCCTTATACAGCAAAGTACTTCTTTCTGTTGCACACTATACTTTTTAGATCACTATACCTATGAATACAGTAACTAAAATTATTTGTTACTATACATTTTGATTGTTTGAAGACTAAAGTCTTCAATCAATGTGTGTTGCCAGTGATGACCTACGGAACCGAGACGTGGTCCTTCACTGCTGGCCGTATGAGGAAGCTCAAAGTCGCTCAGCGAGCTATGGAGCGGGCTATGCTCGGTATTTCTCTGCGTGATAGAGTTCGTAACGAAGACATCCGCAGTAGAACTAAGATAACCGACATAGCTCAGAGGATTAGCAAGCTGAAGTGGCGATGGGCCGGCCATATAGCTCGTAGAACCGATAACCGTTGGGGAAGAAAGGTTTTCGAGTGGCAGCCTCGTACTGGCCATCGCAGTGTAGGACGACCCCCCACTAGATGGAGTGGAGTGACGACCTGTGCAAATGTGCGGGAAGTCGATGGATGCAGGTGGCTCAGGATCGTACTTCATGGCAGTCTATGGGGGAGGCCTATGTTCATCAGTGAACTCAAACAGGCTGAAATGATGATGATGATAGGATAACATTATTGTGTTGTAGGGATGTTTAATATACATAAATATCTTGTGGATAAACACCCAGATTGGAAATAATTGTCTATGGGTGTCACATGTAGTAGTCCCGTGTGGGAATCCAACCGACGACCCCCGACGCAGAAGCCTTTGCAAATGCGCTACAGAGTCATCACACTAGGTATATAGCTTATAACATTGCGACGATTACGAAATAACCAATTTGGATGACATAGCTCATGTACATGAACCGATCTTATAGACGTTATGTTTTTTCCTGGAGGTGGCGTTGTAACCGCGTGAATTATCGTCTTAACAACAATTCATGAGTAAAAAAAGTAAAGTAACAGCCTGTACATGTCCCAGTGCTGGGCAAAGACCTCCTCTATACAGAGGGTATCAGGGCATAGTCCATCACGCGGCCCCACTACTTCGAAAATATGCAGGTTTCCTCGCGATGTTTTCCTTCACCGCGGAGCACGTCAGCACTTAAAATTAAAAAAAATATCGAGTTTAAGACTCAACAAGCCCAGTGGGCTCATTACAATGCACAAATATGTCGCCATCTGTACACGTATGGTTTCAGACGTTCTTTTAGGGTTCCGTAACCAAAGGGTAAAACGGAACACTATCACCAAGACTCCGCTGTTTGTCTGTCTCCCTGTCCGTGTTACCAGGATGTATACCATGAACCGTGATAGTTAGACAGTTGAAATTTTCACAAACGAACACAATAAAAAATATTTAATTGGGGCTCCCATACAACAGTCGTGATTTTTTTGACGTTTTCATAGACAATGGTACGAAACCTTCGTGCACGAGTCCGACTCGCACTTGACCGGTTTTTTCTAGGCGCATCGCAATATAGCGTGTCCCCTTCCTATATACCCTCGCACATAGGAAGGCAACGCATCGAATAACTGTCAATATAGCGGACATTTCACTTTGTGCATTCAGCATCTGCATCGGATTTGGCAGCTGCCTACCCAGATTTGCTATTATGGCTCTTATCCGTACAGATTTAGTGGCGCTTTTCCCCCGAAGATTGTGTGCGGTAAGGGTATTAGCAAAGGATTGTGCCATCGCGCCTGTATTTTGCGTGCAACCCTTCCGCGTTGACCAGGATTAGGTCCCTCGAGAGTAGTACCGTCAGCATATTAATTTTTTACTTATATAAATTTCCAAAAAATACCAAATGTGATGTATAATGTATGTAACTTTTTATATAAGCACTTATCTCTTTTCAATATCTATTTTAAATAAATAAATATTTTAGGACACATTTTTTACACAACGTTTTCTAGTCCCAAACTAAGCAACGCTTGTACTATGGGTACTAAATAACTGATAAACATACTTAAACATACTATGCTCATCTATGCTCATCACACAATATTTTTCCAGTAGTGGGGATCGAACCCACACCCTCTGGCGCAGAAAACAGGTACACTACCGACTACGCCATTCGGGTCGCCATGTTTTATATGATGAAATAGTTTAATGATCCTCTTTCATTTATTTAAAATATATGATTACTTTTAACACAATTCATGAAAGAATATATAAATATTTCCCCTCTAGTCTGTAAACTAATACTGAGATCTGGAACGCAAACTCATCATCGTCCTCAAATTTAAATTCAAATATCTTTATTCAACATGGAAGCATTACACTCACTTTAACGTTTGAAGATTTACTCTGTCTAGTCCATTTTTAAAACTATTGACTGATGGTGGCATTTGTACCATCAGTCAATAGTTTCTTCCGGGAGCTTGTTCCAATCATACGTATACTTATATAAGTATATAAGTATACGTATGATTGGAACAAGCATATATATATATATATATATAAGTATATATCATACGTATACTTATAATATATAGGTTACCTACTTTAATTATCTACTTCAATACTTTTCCTGGCAAAGGAATTTAAATGTTGGTGACGTTGTGACAACATATGGTGCTTTTTCATAATGGGTACGTCTAAAAATATTTTTTACGATATATACACCCAAATTGTCATGTTACTTTCGGATAGCATCTGAAATATTGTTTTTTTTTTTTTTTTGAATTTGAAATATAACGTTTTCCTGCTGACCCTACCTTTCGCCAAACAAGGGGTCTGCGACGCGTCGTGAGTCAGCAAAGTGACCACAAGCGTCCGATTTTCGGACCCCGAACAGTAATCTAAGTAACAATCGCATCCATTTCGCACCTCGCGCCGTTGTTCTCTTTGTGGACTCTGGCACTTTGCATGTGCGAAAGCATTCACCATCCAGACGACGCCGTATTGTGGATTTCACAATTACCGAGATGCATTCAACATCGACGTATCGCTACATAGGACAGGTGCGGTGGACTGCGTTTGGGAGAACTCCTCTAAAAAGCTCATGCTAAATGTTTTACACATTCAGTTGTCTAATCTATGTATTGGCCATTTTAATATACAGAAAAGGTGTCACATAAAAAAAAACAGAAGGTGTCGTGTAGTATCAATTCCTTTGTTTATGTGAAATTATCACCATTGGTTGCTACATAACTCTTCGATTCTTACTTTGAAGTTTGATTACCAAAGCTCACATATTTTCACTTTTTTTTTTTTAACTAATGTTTTTGCTTTCAGTCCCGAGACTATTAAAGCTTCATCTGACGCAGAACCGGTGGGCTAGCCAGAACCCACGGGTTTGGGATATTTTCACTTCTTCTCCTTTGTTCTGTATTTTTCCCATAGAAGTTACGATACAACATGTCCTTTCCTTTCTTATCCACTATCAGCCGTCATCTCAATACTCACCACTCCTTCTTTTATCAGTCACTGGTACCACTTTCAAGCTTTCCCTAATGTAGGTACTCATTTTGTCTTAAATACTGTCCCATCTAATAGGAATAACCCTATAAAATAACCTAATCGCTAACGCCATAGATCTTTTTACGCTTCCCTAATAAAAATTAATGCATGTTCGCTGTGTCGTCTGATAACAGTCTGAAATAACTCTACGACACAGCACGCTCCATAATGTGGTATACGTTTAATTAATGTGTAAAACATAATCGCTATAGTACGAACATTCTTCGGGAATTAACTTCGAATCCGATATTCAGGAGGCTAGTTCTCTAGACGTCAGGCGAATACAGAAGGGAAAGGCTAAGATAAACGCGATAAAATCCGTTAGACAGTTTTGTTAAAGATTGATTTATTCGCGTAAATTAACGACATCATTATCAGACCACCAAGTAACGTAATAAATAACCAGCTGGACGTTTGCTCGCATCAGCTCAATAAAACTTTCTCATCGACGACAAAAATAACGCACAGAGAAAATACATTGTTTATTTGTTTGCAAATACCGATCCTTTCATATCTTGACAGAAGATTCATCATCTTTAACCCGATCTGTCCACTTCACAACCCAAGGTAGCACAGTTTTTTTTATTCGCTCTCACCACCAGATATATACTACGAATGACAATCCATTGAAGCCTGCTGAATTAGGTTTAGACATTAGTGTGTGCACTCTGTATACGTGATTTTCATTTTATCTAACTATATTAGTTTTATTAAAATATGTAGAAAAAGTACGAAAAGATTGTCGCCGCTGTGGGAATCGAACCCACGTCGTCGGCATTCGTGGCCTGACGCTTTAACCACTAAGCTAAACGGCTGATTGCAACAGCGACGAAAATCTTAACGTGTTTTATCTACATTGTTTTTTTAGCATTTGAAGCAATGCTTGGCGCATCCATTGTTATGTCCTTTCCAGCATACAAACAATTTTGATTTTGAAAAAAATTTTTTTATATTAGTTTTATCAATCTAATTCTGCTGTCACCGCTATAATAGAATGGCTTGTTGGTCAGCGATTCATTCAAACCGTTATTAGCTAGAATTTCACTTAAGAATTTTATTTCTATGTCATTATGCGCTTAGTATCTATTTAGTCTTATTCCAATAAACCTAATTATAAGATTTGTCTCGAATGCCAAATTTGCCATACGGTTCCATCGTAAAAAGTTTTTCTATTTCTTAAGAAATCTTAAGCTACAATCCGTGTGTAATGTGTTTAGCTTCACGGTTTAGACTTATAACCGAATCTATTAATACCAACACGCTAACAATAACTGGCTATATTTTCATACAGAACTTGAATGGCACACTCGTTATGATTCGACCCTTCCCGGAATACGTGTTCCTATTAATATTCCCGAGTAATACTCGAGGATTAGCCGTTGATAACAAAACTGTTGCCGGCTAACGGGCGGGGCGTTGTGTAAGTAGCGCTGACAATTGCGGCCTCGTCCCAACAATGGCGGACTGCGCATTTGATTGAGACGCCACGAATGTGTGCCATTCGAAACGTATGATTTACAACCGTTCCGGGATGGCTCAATGCGCGCGCGGCCAACTCTTGCCCATTGTCGCGGGCGGTCGGTTTTTTGGCCGCCTCGTCCAGGAGTCACCGGCCATGGGACAATCCCCAGTCTGCGCCCGTCATCTGCGCACAATGCCCACTATTAGCGGATTATAATCCGCAAAAAGAGCAGGTACCGCGTCGCAAGCGATAAGCTTAAGCGGGAACTTCCAATGGTGTTTTAAGAATTTTAAACATTTTAACTATATACTTATATTGTAACTGTACAGTATTTAAAATACGAAGACGCTGAGAAGTTTAATTTGCATTATTGTATACTTTTCATACGCAGAACACTTAAAAGTTAATAGGCAATAGCTGTGATATTTACGTCTAATTATATACTGACAAAGGAAGTGTTATAGCCTTAGCTAAAAGAAATTGACGTTATTACATCATATCCATTGAATTATGTAGGTATATTAACACAGAATTGCTTGGCATGATTTTTTTTCTGCTTTTTCGATGTTCAGGGCTGTTCAAAATATGGAGGCATATAACTTTCAAATGAGAGCGATGGAAGTCTTAACTAAATTAAGAAATTATTCCATTAAAACAACTAAAATCTAACTCGCATATCGTCACTACCGCTTATCGCTTACGTCGCGGAAGGGATTTCGCCCGCGCCAGCAGATGCGAAGCCTCCTATCCCGTGGGACCTCGGGCCGGACCACGGCACCGGGAACAATAAACAGTCAGCCGGACGCGACCGTCCCCGAAACCATGTTGCGTTTGTTGTTTTAGTTGTCCAACAAACAGCACCAGCACATGAAACGTGCCAGCTCCTATGCGTCGAAGCTCCAAGCTAATATTTTAGCAGTTTATGCTTTATAATACGCCTGAACAGCAGGCCCCCGATCGGTGTCATCATTGCCACGTGAACACGCCACTAGTATTGCATGTTGAATGAAAATCTGTAAAAGTAAAGTATCAGCCTATAAATGTCCCACCGCTGGGCAAAGGCCTCCTCTGTACAGAGGGTATCAGGGCATAGTCCACCACGCGGCCTCACAGTTATCAGATTTTATCGAGTCTGACGCAGAATGCGTTATATTAATGTCGAATAAATTCTCGCCTTTCAGGACCTGTCACGTGCGTTTGTTTGTGCTATCCTTTCAGTTTTTGTCATCGTTAAAAGCTTCGTAGCTTACACAAAACCACACTAGAAATGTTAACTCCTCGGGCTTCCTATCGCTTCCAAGTGTCATTCGTGTACGTGTATTACCTGAACTGCAAACGCGCCAATACTTGACACGTGTTTACCCAATCTGTTTACACAAACCGTGACGGTAACGGTTCCCATGGGACCTCTATATGCACACGTCAATCATACCCCTAAAGTCCCGCTAGCCGACGCGTGGTTAATCGAAACACCCGCCTCCATCCGCACAATCGACACAATTGCCACAATGGGTCATACATGCGTGGAGGGCGGGTAACTGTCCTATGGAAAATGGCGTATGTATTTTCACGTAGTCTCGATAACACAGGAAATGAACTGTAGAACAGTAAACGATATACGATACAACCCTAGTTTTAGACGCCAACCTGGTCATAAGAGCTTTGAAGTTTAAAGATTTTTGTAGAAGGGGAATCTACTATCTAATACTATATTCTTACCTTATTCGTACGGAGCCCATTGGGATGCCTGAAGGAGTTTCAGTGTTCGTGTGGTACCTAAAATTAAATTAAATTTAGCCTGCTTCACCGCGATAGTTTATCTCTACATATTATTTATAGGTGTTTTTGTCGGTACTTCATAACTTTCGTTATCAAATTTGATGATTGGACTCCAATTTAAAACTAATGTTTGCCGCTATTGAAGAAAAAAAAAACTGTCATAAAATAATACATTTAAAAATTCTTATAAAAGAAGTATGATTATTCCTCTATTATATTACATGTAATCTGTAATAGCGTCAATAAAATAACATAATCATGTAATTACACAATTAATGTAATTACGACAATTTATTTAATTAAAAGATAGCCAAGTAGAATCAAAAACGTTATCCTTCAAAATAAGATACTTTTTATTGTTGTGACACATAAGAGACCAATATTTGAGATTATTATTGAATATTATTTGTTGACATATTTACGAATTATTTTTGAACAAAACTTTCCCGATTGCGATTTACTTAAAAACTCATTTTTGAATAGTTTTTAGTTTTTTATCTTCGGTTTGTAACAGTAAAACTACATCATCTGTATATAAATAGAGTACATAATCCAAACGCCATCGTTCAAATGCGTTCGTATGTATGTTGACGATTGTAATTATTATTCGTGTATTGAAAATAATAAACACAAAGAGTGTCTCTTTGTGCAAACCTTCGCAGAAAAAGTACAACTAAATAAGAGCCATAACTGAATTCATAGTTTTGAGAATAGTATAACAGTAACCATTTTGCGATAAAGTGATCATTTATAAAAGAAACCTTAGCACTTTCATTTAAGGTTTGTTATCGGGATACTGATACCGATAAGAGATCTATGAATGCTTCTGCCCCGTAATTTTGAGGGATAATCCGTGAAATGAAAGAGTGTCACTTGGCACCTGCCGTTTTTGAGCGCGTATTGTTGTTTATAACTGTAGGATAACATCGCGTTTTAATATCAACGGGTTTGTAAATCTCCTTACTGTTCAAGACAATTTCACTGTCGATTAGTCTGGCTAGTTAGTAAGAAAAAGTGGCTGGTATCTTGTTGATATGTTTTGTGATGTGTACTGGCTACTGTCCCGTCATAAACATGAACCACTGTCTCGTCAAAGCAAATATATTTGCGAGTTAATAGTCAAGACGACTTATATTTGCGAGTTGACGAGACAGTGGTTATCCGTTAATACGTCGTTATTCAGACCGGCGAAATAGAAATGTTAATACTGTTACTGTTGTATTTATGCGAGTACTATACTTGTTTGAATGAAATTAATGTCACATGTCTCGTGAACCATGAACGCTGTAAAGCGTTCGAAACGTCGGGAATTTAAAAGCAAAACGAAACCTGATAAAACCCGTAAAAAACCACAAAAAAGCTAATGATGAAGCAAAAGCTTACTGTACATTAGTCGCAATTATACAACGATTTTTTTTTATTCATCATCATTTCAGTCTTACGAGTCCACTGCCGAGCATAGGCACCCACACACTGCCACGAAGGACCATCCTGGGCCACCGGCATCCACTTCCCGCACACTTGCACAGGTCTCACCATCTAGTCGTCTTGACGATTAACAGATTGTTGTTTCCCTAGCAATACAGCAGATGCACCAACCGCTCGCCCAAAGCCCGCAGGCCCCGATGGGCCTGGTGGCGCGAGCGATGGCCTCCCTCGCCCAGATGCACAGGTCCGGGCCCCATATGAAGAAGAGGAAGTCGAGGAACCCCCTGAACGGCAATCCCTTCGCTAAGGTACGCACTAAGGCACTCGGAAATAGAAGAAAATTACTGACCAGATCAGCACAAGCTGAGCCGCCTCCTTTATTGTATTATGTGTACTTTAAGTTTAAGAATGTATATTTAGTTATAAGTTATTCAGAAGGCAATAAAGTGATTTTTATTTATTTATATATTTATTTATTTATTTAATTAGCTGAACTGGCGCTCAATTGTTCATTCGCGAGGTCACGGGGATGCAGTCGTAGGTAATATAGTGCTTTACTAAGCTTAAGTTAGTAGCTACTCGAGAAAGGAAAACTATTGTGTTAAAAACCGTTGGAATAAAAACAAGAAATCATTACTGCACAATTTAATAATTTACTTCACGGTTTTGATCGCTCTAAATTCTTGTTTTTATTCACGCGTATCGGATTTGAGTCTTTTTTTTAATTTGTAATCTTGAATGCGACAATGATTTCTAAACTTCGGGGATCTAAAAGCGTACTAAATCATTAATACACGTAAAGTTCTTCAATGTTTTTTTACTAATTGCCTAGGTCAATTTAGTGCAGATACAAAATCCTTAACTTTATATGTACACCAAATACAAACGTATGAAGAGGTGACATTATTTAATATTTGCCATGAAACGAACGTTGATTTTCATTTTGTAAGAGATACCTATATCTAAATAATCTGTCACTAGTATTGACATCTATCGATGTCTTTGATAAGCTCATTCGTATTGCATAGTCTGTGTCAATTTATAACAACGCTAGTTCTAGTTAAAACACAAATAAAATTAGTCCATCGTTATATTTATTAATTTATTTAGTCTTTATTGCGTTTCCTTTAATACGGAGCACATTAGGCGGACTTGATGCCTTAACGCATTCTCTGCCAGTCAACCTATGGTGTGGTGAGATCTTCATCGTCAGCAGTAGACCCGTTAGTAACAGATTCGCCCCCCAGGGCGTGGTGTTGAAGACCCTGATCAAGAAGCCTAAGAAGCCTAACTCGGCGAACCGCAAGTGCGTGCTCGTCCGTCTGTCCAACGGCCGCGAGATGGTGGCCTACGTGCCGGGCATCGGCCACAACCTCCAAGAGCACAACATCGTGCTGGTGAGGGTCGGCAGGTGGGTGCACGTCCTTTTTAGGGTTCCACACTTTAAAGTAAAGTAACAGCCTATAAATGTCCCACTGCTGGGCAAAGGCCTCCTCTATACAGAGGGTATCAGGGCATAGTCCCACTGCGGATTGGCGGACTCCACATATTTTTTTTATTATTTCGAAAATATTCAGGTTTCCTCACGATGTTTTCCTTCACCGCCGAGCATTGGTGCTGGCACCGGGGGTCGAACTCAGGTTGCTCGAGTATATTGGCAACTAATGGCGAGCGCCCGGACACTGATCTATCACGACTCATGTTACGCACTTTAAAAGGTAGAAAAAGGAGCCCTTATAAGATCACTCTCTTGTCCGTCTGTCACCGCCGATTTTGTCGGGGAACGGGTGGTCCTAGCGAGTTGAAATCTATACCAGACACTGAGGTCTAGAGTCCCCATTACGGGTTCTGAGTCAAGGTTCTGAGTAAACATGATAAAAATCTATGGGGAAATTCAGATTTTGGCTAAAACTTGTAAGTATCGCAATTCCCAACAACGAAAATACGTGGGTACACTCGTTAACAACATATCTGCAGTAAAATAAAATATTATTGCTATCTCTCCGACTTACCACGATTCACTGGATGGCCATTTAAAATATGATATAAGGAGAGTTTCTAGAAAAGTCGAGAAAATGTGGGCCTTCTTCTAGACGTATTGGGGTTAGTATCAATGGACAGTAATTATAATAAGATGCAAGAAAAATGTTAAACAAAAATTTGGTACATAAAAAAACATACATGACTACATAAAGTCAAAATTTAACCTTATAGTACTGGTCATGTCCTTCGTTCACATTTTTCGTTATTAACATTTTTGTTTAAGTACTTAATAAGTACATGTAGAGAAAGCAATCCCCCGAAAAATTTTATTTCAATCGTGATACCTTCTGATGAAAACAGAATTACTTATCGCGATTTATGTTAAAGTAAATGTGTTTTATATTATCTGTTGTTACAACTTTTAAACTGTTTTTTTTTTTCATGTTTCAGACTAAAAGACTGTCCTGGAGTGAAGCTAAAATGCGTGCGCGGGAAATACGATTTATCCCACGTCATTAAGCAAAAAGTCTAAATTGTAATAGCTTTTAAAATTGTTAGCCAGTAAAATGAATAAAACCATAGTGTAAGAGAGATTGTAAGATGTACTTGGTTTCATTTAAACCTACTACCTGGAAAATAGAGTCATCTTATTCATTATACTCATCACAAGAACAGTTTAATATAGCCAATGGGATCACAAACCAAAACACGCCCGATTTCTGAAACACTGATCATCGTCAATTTTAATCAGCTGACAAATGGCTTTTCAAATGTTATTTAAGTTGCCAAAAGGATGGTTAAACACTCTGAATTAAACAGAATGATCAATTCCAAGAGTCTAACCATTGACGATGATCAGTGTTTCAGAAACCGAGTGTCAATCTTTCAAATTCATTTTGAGAAGTTAACAATAAAACATATAATATATTTATTAAACATAAAATCAACATTTTAGTACTCAGCTCTAAATAAAGCCTTTTATAACGAAAATCCAACAAGAATGCATACAACATCAGTAAAATGTCACTTTTTGACGTTTGTTTTTTTATTTCTTTTACGCTAGTTCCAGCGTTTTCTGCCATTGGTCGACGCTTTGTTGGCGCGAGCGCAGACCGCACCCACAGTAGCATTGGCTGGGTGGCCCCTTTATTGCGCAATAAAAAAAGGCCATAGCCTCCAATAATAATTTTTTGTAGGCTATGGCCTTTTTTTAACATGACCATAATTTAATGGTTGCCCTATATAAACAGTAAACAAAAAAAAATGGTTTATTTTTATAGGTTAGAAGTCAAATCTTATTTATCCAAACTAATCTGGTATTTGTTTTTATCTCGATTTCTTCAAAAGTAATCCGTGATATACAAATAAAATAAAACAATATAGTAAACTATAATTGTAGTAAATTAAAATAAAATATTTTTAGTGCTCTCAGTTGTGCTCTTACCTTGGTTTAAGCGTCTGGGAAAATTACCCGAAAGACGTCAGTTCGAATCCCGCCGCGCCAAAAATTCCGATATGTTTTCAACAAATTAAATTACATTTTATGCACATTTTCATTTTAGTATAGCTTCATATAGCTCCTTTTAACACGCATTTAACTGCACGGATAAAAGCCAGAAGTAATTCCTAAGCATTCATTTACCTACATATTTATATAACGGTAATACTTCTTCGTAAATAGTATAATATGCATCTAGGTATGTTGCAATGAGAGAAGTCATCGCATTTAATGTTTGCGCAAAAACAATCCAGGGTTTTAGACATTTGTGCGAAAAACTACTTTTAAAATAGTTCGCATGCTCATTACTTTTGGGATATATTTGCTTATTTCTTCAACAAATTTATACTGTGGCGCAGATAATTAGGAATCATTATCTGTCTCACCGCTCTCCTACCGCACTATTTTAATTACGGGTATTTGGCAAGACAGTTTTGAATTTGTTAAGATAAGCCAATTTACATAATTCTAATGAATAAAAGTAACTTAATATAAGCGGTCAATAAAATAAAATGATTATTTAATGTTTTATTATTTTACTATGTACATATAACATAAGGTTTCAGTCTTATATTAACTTAATAGGAATTGCAGTTTTCATTCTGCTATGAAATATTTACAGCTTAAATATTGCACGACGACATCTAATTTACTTATTATATATTAATTTATATAACACTATGCTTAAAAACTAAATGTCATAAGTTTATGTCATTAGTCATAAGTTTTTAGTACGGATATGCTTGGTGGCAGCGGACGCATGACCTCGAGGCCAGCTGACCCTTCAGTTTGGTGAGCTCGTTCCTCAAGTAGGTAACCTTCAAAGCGAGGTGGATCTCCCTCAGTTTTCTTCGATCTCTGCTCTGCTTCGCTGCGTAGTTGTTCCTCTCCCTCTGCTTCCGGTAAGAGTCGTCTGCCGCCTGGCTCGTCTGCACCGCCCTACGCATCCTCGGGTTGTTCCCCAGCAGGGTGCCGCCGTTCTTCTCCGCCATAACACGAAGCGCATCCCTTTCAAAGGCCTGGAAGTCCGGATCGTCGGACAGCGTGTCCACGTCGACCATGTAGCTTGGCATGTCCGCGCTCGGTTGCGTTACGTGATGGGAGGTCGGCGAGGCTGGTGGAGAGATCACGCCTATCCGCGGGCTGATAGCGGTCATGTACGAGCAGGTGCTGGTCCCGGAGAGCGGCGACCCTTCAGCGACGGGCACGTACTGCCGATACCCGGGATAAGGGTGCTGCGACAACTCGCTGGGGTACGGATAACCAGTGTAGGGCACCCGCCCGTAAGTCTCAGACACCGTCACTTCTTTACACTTCGTCGACAGGTCCAGAGCAGCGTCCTCGGCGTACGGCGTCCACAAAGCCATGGCGATAGCACGTGTGTCCAGCTCGGAGTATCGATCCCGAATGACGGACACCCTTGCCGATTGCCCAAGCGCCCTTCGCGGCGTCGGGGGCGGGGCCCAAACTTGGAGGGGTAGACTTAGCCCCACTTTACCCCTTTGCAAGGGTTGAGCGCGCGCTACCTGCAATCTTAACGGGCCCCCGTTGTAAGGAAACAATGGTGTGTTGCGGTTTATTGCGATTTTTAATCCTTGCGTAGTCCTTCGGATTATATTGCTTTGTACTTGCTTATAATTCTACGGCTTAGCAGATATTTTATCTGTTGCCCAGTCACGACGCGAGTTTCTGGAACTTGTGCCTATTCATAATACTTCTTATAACTCTAGGAAAATTTATCTCCATGCAACAAATTTTTTACAATGACTGCAATGGATTGTATGCAGTATATATGAAGTTTGATGACTTCTGTTATAAAGAGATGAAAGAGATCTATCTCATATATTTTAACCGACGTCCAAAAAGGAATTTATGTAGTTATGTTATGTAGTTTTATGTACTTGCTTTTTTGTTCGAAAGGCTTTAATTCTGAAATGGTTCCGTTTAATTTTCATATATATCTGATTATCAGTTTCGGAGATAGACAACAGGACTGTTCAAAAACGACAGCAAATCAACCGCGATCGCTGCTATCGCATAAATTTGCATTATTTTGCGCAATCGCACAACATAGCATCACGTCTGTACACTCTAAAAAATAGGTTAAGCAGATGTATCCAGTATAGCTGAAGCAGATGTAGCCAGAGAACGCGAAAACCGAGTATTTATACAATTAATACGCTGTTTTCGCGCTCACAGCTATCATATTATGTGCATTGTAAGCGTCTACTTGTCTGACAGTGGGATAAATTCGAACTGCAACTCCATCGGCAAATTTTCTTTTAAAATGGTATTACTTGAGAAAGCAATTCAACCATTGTCATTCCGCCAACGCGATAGATAAACTTGTAGCCAAACTATTGGAATTAAACTAAGACTATTATTATACTTTTCTTGATTTTCGTCATTTAGCCTAAGGAAAATATAGTATATTTTTTAAGCATCTATGTTCGCGCCGGTCTGTCCTCTCATTTGAAATGCTAAAAGATTTTCTTTCCTTATTTGCTTTTGATCGTTTTCCTTTTTCAGTCCCAGTTTCAGTTTGACCCTACTTTCTCATGCTCATGCAATAAACTATTAGTACCTACTATAAAAATTAAAATAATACAAAATCTAACAAGTATCAAATCCTGAAAATCTAACCTATATAACCTAACCTTACCAAAATTTAACAATTTTGGAGTTCTCATTTCCCATAATTTAGGTGTTGTATTTACGTACTTACTTAATTTTTACAGTTTCAGTTTGACCCTACTTTCTCATGCTCATGCAATAAACTATTAGTACCTACTATAAAAATTAAAATAATACAAAATCTAACCTTTATAACCTAACCTTACTAAAATTTAACAATTTTGGAGTTCTCATTTCCCATAATTTAAATGTTGTATTTACGTACTTACTTAATTTTTTTTTTTAAATTCGTAAACAAATTAGATAACGACAATCGCAAGCTCGGACGCGATGTATTTATGTAAATGAACAACAACACAATTAGATGCAACCGTCGTTAAACATAATTAGCGATCGATTTACTTGACAACATGTTTGTTTCAATTTATTGTCGAAAGCCAAGCGACGGATCATTTGAAATCTTGTTTATTTTTGAAGACTCTGTGCATATAAAACCCTCGTAACACCTACCTATTTAGGTACGTTATATTAAGTCGACGTAGTTAGAACGTGCAAAACTGCTTTGTACTTAGTACATGGCTGCAATATCATTTTATAAACTCAATAAGTAAATATGAAATAATATAGAGTAAAATCAAGAGATAGTTTTTACTACACCGCCTGCCTTTGTTTAAGGAAAGTAGGTGTTTACCTGGATAGAAATTAATCCAAACGTGGATTGTCTACACATATCTTCGAAATATTTTCATTTGTAATTGTATATTTCATATGCTTCCTTACTATATTTATCTTCACGACTTTAGCGATAATGGAGCGCTTATAAATGCAAGAAAAAAAATTATTGGGGCTGGGTACGGGGATGTACAGGAAGGTCGCTTGAGTATACCGAACTAAAATACGAACACCTTAAGTTATAGTTTATTAGTAAAAAACTTTTAAATTATTTATGAAATTATAGTATTAATGAAACTCACTGAGCACTGCTTATTATAAAAAAAATATAATAATAGTAAAATTATTAGTTTATGTCTCAATATAATTACGTTTAATGAAATTTGTAACTATTTTAGATTCTCGAATTCGCAAGAAGCACTGTGAACCAAAATATATGTACCTATACGAGGTTAACAAAACTATGGCAACTGTTACTTTAAAACACATTTGAATATTCTTTACTTAATATTAATACTGTTTCTGTTGTTGGTAATCAATGACATTATATACAAACACAAAAAATATTATATACAAGTATTAAAACATAATTGTTGGCAATTCTCAACCAATAAAAAAAAATCAAATTAAGCGCTAACAGTACGAAGGTAACTTTCATAAATAACATCTGTGACGATGCCCTTAGGAAATTAAACTATTATTTACGCAAGCGCAATATACAACAATAATGTCATAAACGTTCGGAAAATGGCAAGAAATGTAGAATAATCTAAAAAAAATAATGAGCCCAGTGATACTTGACAGAAATTAATAATCATGTCCGGCGCTGTTTTCAAATAATGCGTTCTTGCGTGACGTTAGCAACTGTCATAGTGTCCTTTCCGGTATGGGCACTGAAAAAAGGCAAAGGGATCTTCCGTCATTATGAAAATCTTTAAGCATTTTTTTATTTTAAATTACTTACTACCGTGAACACCACCAAGATAATAATAATAATAAAGTAATAAGTTACATGATATACTTTTTACGAAAAAGAATCTTAAAATCTATTAGGATATATTATTATTAAAAATTATAGGTTATGTTTTACTTGCGTGTTAAAGAGCACAGTGTATTTTTTATAACTCCAGGCAACGCGTACATATATTTAACCTGGATGTTTAAAGATAATAAAATGATAAAACATACAATGTCATGTTTTACCGGCAATATATTTTTCATTTCGTTTTAAATGAAGAACTTAAAGCAGTCATTATTGTTATTCATGGTTTTCCTTACTTCCACGTAAAATTTATGAAATTTAGATAATACACAGGATAATGTTATCCCACAGTAAGGGCAACGATTTAAGAAAACACTTAACACTTTACCAAAAGCATAAGTCTTATACAGCGATATTAAAAATGCTTCCTTACTTCCAATAGAACCAGTAATGCCATGTGGCAATAAATGTAAAAAAAATAATTCTATCTTGCCTTTATTATTGTCTTATCATGGTAGTTAAAAATAACAAAAATTAAATTAACTATAATACTGCAGACGCGTGCCGCGTGCCCGCCTTTTTAATCTGTGCAATAAACAGCTGTTTACGCTGCCTACGTAATCCCCTCAAAATGGACCCATATTATTAAGCCGTGCTAGGTAAAGTAATCCAGATTATCAATATGCTAACAATATAAAAGTTATTTCTAGAAACTCGAGAGAAACTTCTCATTTAAAGGCTGTGTGTAATAAACCAGACTAAATACCGAATCCCTAATAAAATTGTGACAATAGCCCTCCGGTTTTGAGTTTTTATTAAGTAAAGTGCTTCCCTCCTATTCCGTTTGGTGGTGTTAAACAGTGCTTTAGTGTTAGGGCATAAATACAGTGAAAGGATAATTTAACAGCCTATACATGTCCCACAGCTGTGCGAAGGCCTCCTCTATACAGAGGGTATCAGGGCATAGTCCACCACCCGGCCGCGCTGCGGATTGGCGGACTTCACATATGTTCTGTATTTTTTTTGTTATTATTTCGAAAATATGCAGGTTTCTAGCATACGAAACCAAAATACTTTGACCCCTTCTACGAGCACGGTGAAACCAACAAGCGTACACAAGGTACACTCGCGTTCCAGGTCGGTTCTTACCGCCTCGGATTAATACAGTTAAAAGCCATCGGGGTCACGGTCCGAAACTTCATGGCCCGTAATTGACATGACGTACGTAAGAGCACTTGCGCATACTTGGGCTATCAAGCTCGCGGGAGTTCTGTTTGATGATGCTTTAATAGTCTACGGACCGAAAGTAAAAGCGACGTAAAGTTTTTACGGTGGTAGGGCCACGCAGCATCCTCGGCTGTTGCACGAATGGGCAGGCTCGTCCGGGTAAGTACCACGACCTCACAGAAGACCGGCGTAAAGTGGAAGTTTAATACTTTCACGTTTCGTCTGGTGAGTGAGGTGGCTGGAGCCCAATTTTCAAAAGGGTTATCAACGCATCTACAACCCTCGGGTGTAGCAGATGTCCATGGCCGGTATTGACTTAACATAAGGTGAACCGTCTGGTTGTTTGGCAAATTTTCACATTAAAAAAAAGTTAATTAAGACAATTGTTGCGAAAAAAACGTAATTATGTGGCCGTTCCTACTTTAGCGCGTCCAGTCAATATCTGCCCCACCCGCGTTACCTGCATAATCCCGCCAATACGTAAGCCCCGCAATGAGCTGGCCAATAAAACGGGCGCCTAAGCTGCCTTTACTGCTTTATTGCCACCGTCCTAGGCTATGATAAAACGCAAAAAAAAAACCACGCCGACAAACGTCGTCGCGTCTCAGCTTCCGCGAAAGTGTTAAGCTCGATTTGGCCAAGACTGAACCTATTTTTTTAATTCCTCCTTTTTTTTTAAAACCGTTCGGAGCTCTGACAATTTATGGCAATAACGTTGGTGCAAATTAAAACCCACTATTAATAAAAAGATGAAAAACCTTATATACAAGTCCACACAGTGTTTGAGTGTAAATATATCAATTTAAATACGAAAGAGAAAGAAAAATGAAGACATTGTTGTAACTTTCTGACATTAGCGTATGCGTCTACTGCATTAATTAGTTATAGATTTGATTATAGAAGTGTAATTATAGTGAACTGTGATTTGTTGATTATAGAACCATTCACCGTTAGAAAATCACAGGCATTATTATTAGTTCGCCATTCGTTCTTAACAATTAAATTATAAATCGTGAATATTTAACACATAATGCAGTAAACATATTACAAGTCAATAATATTTGTCGATGCTCTCATCGGTTCCGCCAAACTCGACACGTCGATTGCTTTCGGCATGCAAATCAGATTTCAAAAGCGCTGCGACACTCTAGGGATTAAGATAAGGGCCGTTGGGCTGTTTGCCCGCGCAAAAACTTTCCGGAACACCCACCAGGTAACGGTGCCAGCACAATGAGCGCGGCGGGATTCGAACCCGAAACAGTATCGGCTGTCCCGTTCGCTTTATTTGATCGGGGAGTGTTAGGCGCCTTAGAACGGTGCCTCGTTCTGCCTAAATCCCTTTTGCAAATAAACGCTTGAGCTTACAAGAGACCTCGACATGTTTGTCCGCGCGAAAGACGCAACGTAGATAGTACTACTCACTTAAGAGCACGTTCACTTTTTTTCTACCAAAATAGATATAGTTCTTATTTAAAACACAAGCTTCGGTTGCAATATTGTTATTCTCACTAAACTTTAATTATATATTCATCACAATTTCGATATAAGAAATAAAACTTTAAAACATATGGACTATTACGTAACATTTCAGTAAATTTACTAGTAATGAAATGTACTATATGCTAGTAATGGTTACTAATCCTATCAACATATAAAAATTAGCTCCTTCTACAAATAGTTATAAATTAACGTATGCCGGAAACTGTATATCACACTGTCAGGTAAAAGCAATTTATCGTAGTCTATAATATCTACAATAATTAAAGCCATTGTTCCAGCTAAACTATTATCAGTTCCTCCTTGTAGCAGATAATTAACCAGAGAGCAAAAACATTCGAAACAACAAGCTCACTTCGCTTGTATTTAAGCATAAAATACGGCAGCGTTTCTACAACAGTTAGCGCTCCATAAAATGCCCCGCTATGTGCCATTTATTTTACATAGGAGCCCCGTCAGCGCGTTCAGGGTAAATAGGGGGGTTGATTTACACAAGATCGGAGGGGTGGGACCCTTATTGCGCCCCCGTTGCATCGCATTAGGTAAGGGCTATTGATTGGACCTCGATACATCATGTGGGATGTTGGTTAAATCATAGTGACGGGAAGTTCTGTCGATACTTCGAAAGAGATTTAATAATTTCTTTTTATTTTGTCTGTGTGTTTTATTTAGCTCGACCAAGGAAAAAACTAGCTTTTGACATTCAGTTTCTTCAGTGCAACCCTAGTTGTTTGAGAGTAGCAATCAATTTTATTGTTTTTCGGCAGGTTCCATTATGTTCTGAACAGGCTGTCGATGGTATGTCTCAATTAGACGACGTTTATTATTTGTTATTAACCGACTTCAAAAAAGGAGCAGGTTTCTCAATTCGACCGTATACAGCGTGTCTTTACAATGGCGACAATAAATGAACACACATATAGAGGATAACTTTTTAAAATTGTATTAAAGATTTACATTCTTTAAACATCAATATTTACCGAGTTATCAAATTTTCCAAAACAAAGAATTCCCTTACCTAATTACATTCCTACCCTTACGTATAAAACTATAACGTAAAGTTCATTTCTCAAGGTCAAAAAGCATATGAATGGGTTGAATGAATTTAAAAGAGACAAAACATACTGTTAGAAGGAGAGGCTTGTAATGCGATGCTGTGGCGCGAGTTGTATAGAATGTTACAAATTTTGTTTCTTTTTTACATAATTAGTGTGTTTGAAAAAAAATTTTTTTAATTATGGATTTTTTAACGTTAATATTTTTTTATGATTATTGGCAAGTAGCGTTAGACGTGTGTTCATTTATTGTCGCGAAAGTAACGACACGTTGTATATATTTTTTTATGTGTGTTCGGGGATAACTTCGTTATTTATGAACCGATTTTGATGATTTTATTTTGTCGGAAAGGAGATATCCCAAGGTGATCATGATAAGGAAACCCAGATCTGATGATGGCATCCCAGAGAAATCGAGGGCAATCCTCAAATGTTGTAGGAGTTGACAATGTTGTTTTACTTTGCTGTTTGAAGTTGGATTTTTTTGTTCAAAATTATTTTCTAAATAAAATTGATACGATGATTCTTCATTTTTACACCCCTAATATATCAATTAGTCCTCTTGGGCTTGTCCCTCAATAAAGCTCGCCTATAGTTACATAAAAATAGTTAATTGTCATTAAAAACGTCAATCTAATCGATATTTAAAACGCCACTTATTTTTAATCGTGCATTTCATATTCCAAGTCTTTCATACTTCAGGCGTCACTACATATAGCAATTGGCGACCGTGAACAGCATTCTATTTAGGGAGTTTCGCCCTATCGCTAGCCCCTCGCTAGCAGCCTCCCCGATGCGCGACCGGCATTAATTACGATCGGTTTATTCGTTTTACTAATATAATTTTGACTGGAAACGCGTGTCTTCTGAATGAAACCTCTATATCGTAACATGCGTTGTTTTACTGTTTTAACTTGCTCAAGATTTAAAAAAATATGTGATACTGATATCCACTGTAAAAATGGATCGGGGCCTGTTAAATTTATCGCTTTATTCGACCATTTCAATTGAACATAATAAAAATAAAAGAAGTTACCTATCTTAGAAGATTTTTTAAAAGAAGATACCAATGTATGTACCAATTTATTTAACACTTAATTTACGAAATTAAGTGTTAAATAAATTAAGCCGTTAATTATACAACTTTTAATAATACACAGCGTGAACATAGACGTAATGTACATGCTGTGTATTTTATTATATAATGGACACCTGTGGCAGTCTTTTGAGGACAATATATTCAGAAGCGGAATTTGTGTAGCTGAAAATTTATAGTATGTATGTTGTAGCATTATCATCAACATTTCAGTTTGTTCGGCAGTAGCTGAACATAGGCCTCCCTCAGACGCAAAACACATTCCCGCACATTTACTTAGCCGAAAAACTGTACAAAATCCTTAACACTTAAAAAACTTATTCCTTTGAAAAATAATTACTACGCGACTTCGTGAGATTACTGAATTAGTATCCTCACGAAGTCGAATCACCATCTGTTTAGTATAAAACGGATACAATGGAACAAGGCACAAGCCACACTCGCCTCAAAAAAAATCAGATTTGCGACGCGAAATAATCCTTTACCGCTCTGTCAATCCCTCAAACATTATCTTTAGACCGACAGTGTTGCCGCGTGCTACATTCACAATTACAGATTTTGGCACAAGATTAATCAGGAATCGTACAAAATGATGTCTATAAATTAATTCAGCTGTTCCTTATAGTGATGGCAAAAATAAATTTACCTACAAATCGTTATAATAAATTCTAGAGTAACAGATATGAACGTCTGTATAACGAAAAGTTCAGACTTTTGTCATTTTGTTACAATTACGTTTTAAATAATTTCAATCAATAGATGATAAGAATCTATCTCTCACGTCAGTATTATTACCAAAATTTAATTAAAACTGGTATTTATATGACGCTCGTTCATAAATGATTTGTGCAATTTATAGTTTGTCTGTTTGTACGTCCGAAAGTTTGGCTTGAATAAGATCAATTCCACTGGATGGAATTTAACGAAAATGATTGGGTTAGTTTAGGTGTTATATTTTCGAGTATGTAACGATATCTTGCTGGATTTCGAAGATACAAAATAATTCTATAACGAATGACATTTAAGTTTTCTTTTTATTCTGTTCCTAGATCGACAGTGTTTTGATATAAAATAAACTACTTCCAAACACATTTTACTCTTTGTTCAAAATATTTTAATTATAATTTTATCACAATTGTTGTCTGATTGATGTAAAACATAAATCAATATTAGATGAAAGCATTACATCTATATTATAGGATCATGCCGGTACCCAGTATTGAGTCTATACGGCACGGAGAAAATTGAAAAAATCAACACAGTTATTCACCTTCGTAAGACTCAAAATCCTCTCTAATTTTATATATGACCTTACTGTTAACCGTAATGATCGTGACACTAAGTATCTTCGTATTGCAAAACGAATGATAATCCATTGTTATACTTAAGTCCGAATTAATAACGATAACGAGCAAACGAAGACGTAAACAAAACGATTAATGCTTAAATATAACACATAGTTGCGAAATTGTTATTAAAGTCGCTTTGTTTGTTACCGCATTAGATGAATCGATTATGAATTCTTAACAATAGGAAAGTCGTAACAACAATTTACACATACAAATAACAAGACCAGTCAATGATTTTTAAATAGGAGCTTTTTTCGTAGATTTCTTTTAACTTTTAACATTTTTAATTGAAGCGGAATATAAGGTAAGAATAAAAATCGCCATTACGCTTTCTAAATAATGTATTAAAGATAATTCATTTACGATACAGATAAACTATTTACATTAATATTTACAAATAAAACGAAACACTTCGCAGATATATTTGCAAATCTACTCAAAAATATACACACATTCGACTACAAGAGACGTCCATATAGCGAACTAATTGCACGAAACACTACAGGTATATAACTATACACAAATGACATTATGCCCACAATCGAAGAACTTTTGCAATATCTAACATCTGCACTGCTGCCGGCATCGCGCGCAGATCCTCTCGTCCAAACGTGCCCTGAGATCTGCCAGCTTCTTCTTTAGAAAGGTGACTTGGAAGGCGAGCCTAACCTCTCTCAGTTTTCTTCGATCTCTGCTCTGCTTCGCCGCGTGGTTGTTCCTCTCCCTCTGCTTCCGGTAGGAGTCGTCTGCCGCCTGGCTCGTCTGCACCGCCCTGCGCATCCTCGGGTTGTTCCCCAGCAGAGTGCCGCCGTTCTTCTCCGCCATAGCCCGAAGCGCGTCCCTTTCAAAGGCCTGGTACTCCACGTCGTCTGAGAGCGACTCCGCTTCGTACGCCCCTGGGGATTCGGGTGGCGATAAGGACTTGCGGTAGCCTCTAGGTGACCATGCACTGCCGACTGAGTCCGGAGATATTTGGGCAGAAGGCACGCAGGGCGCCTCTTGGTAACCCATGTAGTAAGCGTGCCGAATTGGCAGGCGGTCGTGTGGCGATATCGCCGGCTGAGGGTAGACATATCCGGGTGTGGTGTAAACTAACTCTTCACGTCCTGGTGACGCCCGTTCCTTCTTAATTGTGGACCGACTGAGGTCCAAAGCCTCTTCCGCGTACGGTGTCCACAACGCCATGGCTCCCTTTAAACAGCACTCGACTACTGTTCGGATGATTGATGTAATACTGAGAGCTCATTGCTCAGGCGTCTCGGGGGTGTTGTGGGCGGGGCTTGTTTGGTTAGGGGGAGGGTAAGTGAAGGGTTGTCGGATCGCTACCTGCGGTTATAGTTAACGGGACCGTCGCGTTCACGGAAAACGATCGCGTCGTATTCTTGCGTCTCATTGATGAAAAACTGACCAACGCGTGGATAAAAGAATTCGTACGGGTTCAATATTATTCAGGTTTCGTTCACACGCACATTCTCACTTCTTTTTAGTTGCTACTAATTGATACATACGCTACCTACCAACACCATTTAGTTGCTGATATAGAATATTCAAAAATAATATAAAAGGTATTTAACATAGACGTAACTTAGACACTGACAATATCTTAGTAGGTCTTCCATGAAGTCGTAGTAACTCTCCGGACAAGTCGCCAAAGGCTGCCCGTTGCTTCGTCCTCAAATAAATAAAAAGTATTTACAAGAACTTTTATTTATATTAATTTTTATGTGTATTTTCTGTTTTTGTTTCCCGGTGTCGGCACTAATGAAATTGTTAATTTTAAGTGTTGACTTATCTCTTGCTCAGCGGTGAACTAAAAACATCGTGGGTAATCAATTGCATATCTTCGAAATAATAACAAAAAAGATAGATATGTGAAGTCCGCAAATCCGCAGTGGCGAACTATGCCCTTATGCCATCTGTACAGGGAGGCCTTTGACAAGCAGTGAGACATTTATAGGCTAGTTAATTACTTAAATTAAAAAAACACCATGGATTCTCAAAAAGATTTCAAGGACATCTACATAGAACAATATCATAATTTAAAAAAAAAAATTTAAGCACTAAAAATATAGTGTGGATGCAATAAAGACATAAAATAAAACATCAATTTAATTATAAGGTGTTTAAGGATAGGAGTGCCACTATTGCTCATTGAATTATAATTTAAAACTTAAATTCATATTCAAATCCATGTGGGTGATTTCTAAAATTCGTAAGTAACAGAATGTTTATACTTGATTTGACAATGCTTCAAAATATTCCTTTCCAGGAAACCGAGCACCAAAACATTCCCTGTTTATTTTAAGTCGGATTAAAACCGTTTAATCCGTCGGTAGTAAGCCACTCATCGAACGGGAAACAAAAAGGCGGCTATTTTTATGACATCTGTCATTATTCACTGTCTTCATTCGGGTAAAATCCAGTCGTAAACTATTAACCGTAGCATAATGATCCTAGCATTTTTCCTTACTTAAAAAATAATATATTTCTAGACTAAAGGTTGTTATTTGATTTTCCTAAAATGAACACAAAAAATTATAATTTATATTATAAAATTAGGGGTGAAGTTTTATACGAGTAGCTCTAACTTATTTTCGTGGCAATTAAATTTTATACTTAACAGAATATAAAAAAGTGTCTAGGATAGTTTCGCATTTTGAACATTTCTCATACAAATCAAGGTATATATTTATCGATCTATAATATAGGTATGACGAAATACTTTGTTCCCGTGAGAATGTACCGACGAAAACCATCACAGACATCGATATCTATTCATAAAGCAATAGATTACGCTGTGTCCAACTTCGGCACAAAACACTTGATCTGTCCATTCAACCGCCATTCTTATATTATACCCTTTAATGTGTGCTGGACAATAAATCAGACCACCGTGGTAAATGATTTTGAAAACGTCGCCAAGATGGCTACCGGAAGCGCGGGCACAAAGCGCGGGAAAGACCCGCATAGTGACAGTTGCTTCCTCGGACGCTTCGGTTGATTTCGTGAAAGGCTTGACGTACAATCATATTAAACACGGTCAGTTGCGTGTTTGGATAATGTCGAAGGCAAAAAACGACAGATTTATCTATTACGGTTTGGATTTATGGTGTATGTCTTTAATTATCATGTCAAAACTATAAAAGACGATGTTAATTTGAATTTCATGCGATCTATACATTTATTGTTTCCAAAAAAAAATATTTTAATAACTATTTCTTAAACAAATCATACTGACTTTTTTTCACGACATTAAATTATTCTATTGCGTTTAATTGAGTGCAAAAGTTTGTGTTATTGACAAATTTAAAAAGAAGTAAAAAAATTTATTCAATGAAAAAAACGAAAACATTAAAATGATTCAAGAAAGTAACTAAATAATAAAATAACTCATAAACCCATTTTTGTATGTATACCTATACCCTTTCTGTGGATCCAACATTTTTAAGGTTCCGTACCCAAAGGGTAAACGGGACTCTGCTATCTGTATGTTTGTCTGTCCGTCTGTCAGCGGGCCGTGTCTCATGAAATTTTCACAGAGGATGTATTTCAGTTGCCGCTATAACAACGAATATTAAAAAACAGACGATTTTTTGGCGTTTTTATAGATAATCGTACAGAACCCGAGTCCAACTCGCACTTGGCCGATATTTTCCATTTTCCCGTGACCAATCAAGAAAGTAACGACCGAAACTAAAGGAATGGTCAAAGTACCTATGGGTTATCGTATAAATTCATGCGAAGTTATTAGATAAAATAATAGGCGTTAATTAAATAACAAAATATTATATATAATACATATTAAATACATCATCAACTAATAAAGCCCTGTAAATTTCGAAGAAAGAAAATTCCTCCTGATTTGAAGCATCTATCAAATTTGTCTTTATTATAACACACAGCAATGACAGCTGAATATCAAATAATTTACAGTTCGTTTTCAGCGACATATTTAGTTGGAACTCCAAACATTTTTCTATGCATGACCCGTTCCGCTCCATTCGGATGCCGGAAAAAAAATTTTACCGTACTCCATTGAAACTGCAAAATAGATATCAAATGAATGTGCTATTACGGGACAGTTAGATCCATCGATCTTATATGTCCTCAATACAAAACGGTCCTGCCGCAAACAGAAAAGGGTTACAAACGGTAAAATGGCGGCGACTGGTGGCGGGAGAGAGAACGCCACAGTTGGCAGAGCAGCCGTATGCATTTTTTTTAAATACAGATTATTTTAAGATAGCGATAAATAAATTTTGATTGTGCCTGAATTTTACTATTTAAAACTTATAACTTTTATTTTGTGGTTTTAGCGGACTGTGTCGTGACGTGTGTCGCCGAGTAATTGTGCATTTAAGAAATAAGGGGATTGTCATCTTCAACGTCGATTATCCAAAGATATCCTGATAATTATATCAATCTGTACAAAATGATGCAAACGTTTCGAGCATTAGAAAAGACACAACAAGTTTTGGTTTATTTCAGATCTTGCTAATGAAACTTTTATTTCAATTTGTAGTGAGCTTTTCGCAAAAACAACGTTATTTTTATTTCAATTAGTAAGCGACGAGTGAGCGAGTACTGCAAATAACTCCGAACTAAATTGGCCAACAATTGTCACCGTCGGTATTATTAAAGCGCATGCAAATTATACAATCTGCATAGGGCATTGTGCCCGTCATTTTCGCAATTCCCGCACAAAAGGGTTGCACCGTTTCGCGTAAACAATGGCGGATGAGTTTCTCGCGAAATGAACTGCACTTTCTACGTCGACAATGGCTTTTATTTAGCATACCGTCTTAGCAGACGTTGCTAAAACAGCGGGGCGCAGTTTACTCTTTTGAACGCATCAGATGTAAACACTTTAAGGGCCGTGATAGCTCAGTGATACTCGAGCAACCCGAGTTCGATCCCTGGTGACGGCACGGATGAAATTGTTAATTTTAAGTGCTGTCTTATCGTGTGCTCAGCGGTGAAGGAAAAAATCGTGAGAAGAACTGCATATTTTTGAAATAATTAACAAAAAAAATTATATGGAAGATGTGTGAAGTTCGCAAATCGGCAGTGGGGCCGCATGGTGGACTATGCCCTAATCACTCTGTACAGAGGAGGCCTTTGCCCAATAGTGGATTTAAATAGGTTGATACTTTACTTTACACAATCCCAGAAGTGATTTTCGCACTTAAGAAATAACATAATTGGCAAGGTATCGGTGTCAAACTTGTGATTTGTCATTTCACATCATCTTGCGAGCCATTCAGGTATCACTGCTTCTCCTTAAAAGTACCTAAATGTTGTTATTATTTTGCTTGTGAACGTTAAAACACAATGATTAGTTTAATTAAATTAGCTATGATTGTCAGTTTAGCACATTTCTGATCACACGCGCCATTTCTAAACAACAGTGGTGGACCGTATCTCGAAATTAGTTTAGACTTGTTTTCTTTATGACCCCTTTTGTGGGAAGCGCGCGTATCCTTTGGACGATTCTCGCATCTGTCATGGCGAGTGTTGTTTTTAACGCCACGTGCCAATGTTTTCTCAGCGGAAGTTTCGCGTGAGATCCCTTTCCAAAAGCAAATTGTCACCGTACACTCATCAATGCATATTATAAATTGACACAAAAGCCAGGGGGTTTGTAATTATTACGGTATTTTTAAAACTTCATCCGCAAGTGCAATTCGGGTATCAAAACTGATATGAAATTATTCTTTGAAGTCATACTTCTTTTGGCCAGCTTGGGAAAAATTATAAGAATGAAATTTACGATGCGCCACATCTAAACGACACCAACTTACACTTTAACAACGAATAACAACTTTGTGTCATTCAAAGCTAATTAATTAAACCGTTTTGATCTAATATTAACCGTTTTTACTTGCATCTAATATGTTTGTCGCAAATAAAGAGTACTGGCACAGGGGATAAACTTTTTAGTTATTTTTATTTTTTTTTTATTTTAGAGAAGTATAACTTCTTACGTGCGTACATAACTACACACATACGATTTTTTATATCCAAACTCCTATTTAAAATTTTCTTTATTTTGAACTATTATTCGTTTAACGAAAAAACAAGAAGAAATATGTTAAATAAACTGTGCCTTTTCTAAAAAAAAAGTTAAAATAATGTATTGACCATGCGTTATTTAGGGTGGATATCGCCGTACCATACAGCTATTA